AAAGCGACTGCCAACTCCAATTCTAAAAACTGAAAAATAACCTAAAGAATATCTAAGTTCATAATTCTCAAGGCAATTCTCACCATCTGGAATAATAAAATTAGGTGTGGGAAAAGTACTCTATCTTTGGCGGCAAACAGACTGTGGGTTATCTTCATTTATATGTATTTATAATAATTTGGGTTCCTGCAATAGTGGTACCGAGTACCGACTAAAATCTAAATTGTAACGTTTTCAATTTCTTGGCTAATAAGCTACCTTGTTTTGCTTTAGTAGATATGATTCCGTATAGAACTATATAAAGGAATAAATGAAGAAACAACTATCTTTTCTGTGCCCAGATTTTGTTACCTTGAGTATTGCCTTCTACTAGAAGTTTTTTTGGTTCAGGTTTGCAAGTTTGGTTAATTGATCTGGGAAGGTTTGATTCAGTACGGCAGGGCCCGCAGTTATTGATTAGAATTTTAGGAAAAGGAGTTAGTACCATCATCATATCTGTTTGCAAATCCAATCAATAATCTGAGGTTATGATAATAATTGTTGTTTACTCTTTGACTTTTCATTTCCATCATGTCATTGAACAGCTGTTTTGTCTAGGCGTTTTCTTTAGACCTGTTCTACCTTTTGATATATGTTCTATAGGCACTTTTCAACATTCACCAGTCATTTTTTACACAACCGATTCTCAGTTCGTACTTTTGGGGTGAAACTGAACACGTCCTTTTCTATAATTTTCTTCAATGTCAAAATTAGAAGTTTGACAGACGAAAGTCTTCTTCCGAAATCTAAATTCTAAATGAAGAATCTGCCCTTTTGATCTGCGACCTCACGCTGAGTAGTCGTCCGGTCTCGGGCCTCGGCCCTAATTATTTTTGGGGCGAGACTTTTTGGAATTTTGTGCCAGGGAGCTCAAGTTTTAGACTAATTTCTTGCTGATAATTGTCTAGAGTCGTCCCTTGGTCATTTTTGGATTCGGTTTCGGTAAGTTTGAGATTTTCTTCAGGAAATATTAACCTACAACACGTGTTCCATTTTTTTTAATAGGACTGTTCCGAGCAACATTTGGAAGTTTAAGACTTCACCTTTGGTCTAGAGTATCCCTCAATTTGAGGTAAGATTATTTCTAATATTTGGGGCTCGATTTGTTTTTTTATACGAACATCGTTATAGGGTCCTAGTCTCAGGCTATAGTTGGACAATCCTAGTCTCAGGCTATAGTTGGACAATCCTACTCCTACTCCTAGTCTCAGGCTATAGTTGGACAGTTGCTAAGCTGTATTTAGAGAGATTCTAGACTGGATCTAGATTGCTCTCAGTTGGGGCTTTGGTAGCCTTTCTTCAGCAACTCGATTGGTACCACTCTGCTAGAACCACATCGGGTTCTACGTTAAACAGATACAACGTGGATAGGACTCATGACTCACTTACCATACCTTAGCCTATCTATAGTGAGACCAAACCTGTAGATAATCTCACTTTGGAAACTTCTGGATTTTCACATACATTTCACTTGTATACATGTAAGTTGCACCTTTACTATTTAGGCAAATCTTATATAAATCATCTGACACCGAATTACGTCGGTGAGTGCCCCTTAAATAAAATTCTAGAATTTTACCCTGAGGTTACCCAAAGAATAACTTTCACCTTTCTGTGTTTAATTTGCCTGTTGGTAAAGTGTAACCCATACTGGTCTTTTAATCTTTCACAAGTGTTAATAAACAGTTAAAACTGTTTATTTTAAATTCATATACTCATTATTTACATTTTTTTATTTATTCAAATATTCACAAATTAGGTACAAGCCTAATCCTAAACACCTTTTTAATAACTTCGTGGCTACTTATTGGCACAATAGTTAAGTCCTAATTACTTGGTGGCTACACTTTTTGGCGCCTTATTATTATTGTTATTATTTTTTAATAAAGAAAGCCAGATACATTATTGTACCTAATTAGTTGTTTTATTGTTAAGCGCTCCAATTGCACAGGTTTTGTTTATAACATCATTAGGTTATCTTCCTAGTTAAGTCACAATTAACTTGGTGGCGCCCAAAGGTAAGATGTATACAAGGAACCCAGAGACCCATGGCCTCCGAACTGAAGCTGACTAGCCGTATGCAGTATAATTAGGCAATTGCCAAAATAAGTACGTTATAAAATAAGCAATAAGTTATAAAGTACCTAATTGATCAGGCACTAAACCAAACAGATGGTCGAATTTGTTAAAGAGAGGAAGTGTAGTGAACATAATAAACATAATTGCTATTAATAAAATGTTGAATTTACTGGTTCACAACAACTAGATGTTCCAATAATTCTCATGTGTTTTGAAGAAGGATTTTTCTCATATGTCACAGTTCAAATAAAGCTTTTCCTTTTGATACTAGAATTACTAGTCCTATTCAAAAATGTCCGCCGATGTATTTGTTATTTCGGCTCAAAAAAATTGTGATAGATCTTCATGAGCATGCATGATGGATCTAGCAGTTCCAACGATGGTATACGGTTTTCTCGCTCTGCACAGTGTGTATAAGGTATTAACCATTGTCAAATTCTTTATCATTACCAGAGAGTAGCTTAGATTTTTCCCCCAGAAAGCAGAAAGTAAACATAGCGATAACGACTGAAATCATCCTTGAAGAGCACGAAGTATCTAGCCACTTTGGGAATTTTCAAAAGGCCCGCAAACATCTGTGTGTCACAGTTCTCCTGGTACCTTAGCTCTTTATTTTGTCCCAAACCCAGTTAGACTAAATTGCCAAATTTCTGACGAAACCGTACCAAAAGCCAAGGGTTATCAGTCGGTTTCCAAAAGAGTGTGATGACATTATGTAAGTCTGTTTCTGCAAGAAATCACAAACAGACCTTATGTCTAAAAACACGACTCTTGACCCCTGGTTCCTTGGAAAAAGTCGCCTGTCTTGAAACTGATAAACTAAAATGGTCACCAATTTCGATAAATAAAAGACGCCTCACGTCGCCCTGGATTCATTCAGTTCTGGTAACAGATTCTGGTGCTTACAGTGTAAATTCGTTCGTTATAGTTACAATAAGCAGGTGAGGTTTCAGTTTCCACACATTTCCCATTGTCAATTTATTATCTTATTTACTGTATGTTTTTTCTACTTATTGTCAAATCGTTAAACTATTTTTCTATCTTATTTCCACGTATTGTCAACTACCAACTTATTTGCTCATAAATCCTTTGTTATGACTTTGAGTCATTTTGACTGTATTTTCGCTACTTTATTCTAACAACCGATTCCTTTCAAAACAGTTAGAACCCAACTACGTACAGCTCAAGTAGCAAGAACCCGGACGAGAAAAGGCCTTTATTAGTCCTAAAACAAAGTCTCCCTTACTCGCCCGTCCCATCCAGGTGGCCGATCCTCGGGCCAGGGAGTAGAGCTCCCCGATAGAACGAATGTTTTGTCCTTGTCAACGTAATCGAAAAGTAAACGAGAATGATAAGGACGAAAATTTTGTTCTCTCGGGAAGCTCCACTCCCTGGCTCGAGGATCGGCCCGCAGGTGGCGACGGTAACACGGTAATGGACTAGCCCTAATCAAAATGTACCTATTACAAAATCCTATAGTTATTTAACATTCATATTTCACTTTTCAAATTCAACTACTTACCCTAAATTGAAGTAATAATCCGAACTCTCTCAAAATAAATTGGTATTCGCCCTTCGGAAAGTTGCCGACTTGCAATTTAAAAATATATAAGTATTCAATTTTCAAACCCAGACTTACACTTGCTATTCAATAAATCTTTTTTTCATTACTCTGGCACAAGTATTTCGGGACCCACCCGAATTAATTTAGATTTAACTCCTAGGGGCTTGAGGCTCGTTACGAAAAAAAAAAAATAAATCAATTTAATTTCCGCAACGAGTTTTTCCTCAATGAACATTTTCTCGGGTTTCTGCTGCATTGCTGGCGGTCCTTAGTCGCGCCGAGAAAAATAAAAAGGAATTTTAGTGGACACTTTTGAAATTCTTTTGTCAACTTGTCTGTCTTTTCTTAGGAATTTTTGGGGCTTTAGATAATCTATTTTGAGATAAAGTATTGTATATACAAGGTAAAGGGTGATCTGGTATAAAGTGAACCTTTCCGCTTAAAAATTGATTTCCCACGAGGTTTTTTCCAAATGAACACATCATCGTATATTCCACTGTATAGTTTTTTATCATTTTCAACAGTAAATAAGATTGACAATGGGAAATATGTGGAAACTGAAACCTCACCTGCTTTGTAACTATAACGAACGACTTTATAGTGTAAGCACCAGAATCTGTTACCAGAACTGAATGAATCCAGGGCGGGCGACGTGAGTGATGATTCTTTTAGTTTATCAGTCAGTTCAAGACAGGCGAATTTTTCCAAGGAACCAGAGGTCAAGAGTCGTGTTTTTAGACATAAGGTCTGTTTCTGCAAAAATCACAAACCAGTTATAGTGAAATTCATTGGTTGAAACTAATTTTCTGACTGTTTTCAACCAATGAAATTCGCTCTGACTGGTATGTGATTTCTGCAGAAACAGACCTAATGTCATCACACTCTTTTAGAAACCGACTGATAACCCTTGGCTCTTGATACGGTTTCGTCAGAAATTTGGCAACCTAATCTAGCCAATTAATTGTATTACGGAGCAAAAAAAGGATTTTTAGGCCGGTTTGTTACAAAATTACAATCGCCACCGTCATGATGAAGGAACATCATTAAAATTTAACTTGTTCGAACTTGAATTTAAAAATTTCAAGCGAATTAAAATTTCATTTCAAAGTACAAATCTTCCGATAAAAATAGGTACTCCTACTACAATTTTATACAGGAAGTAGTCGAAAAAGTGTCACGTGTCCTCAACTAATATACAGAGAGTTATTTTGGAGTGCCGATGTTAATTACACTAGCGGCATACTTCCTGTTCTTTCGGGAATTTTGTTTTGACATTTTTTTTCCATTTTACTAAAGGTTTTTTTTCTTTTTGTTGCAGTTCGGAAAGAAGACGAGAAAAACAGCAAATCCAAACCCAAAGGGAACGTTTACATCGAAGAAAATAAACCTAAAAAGTAGAAAAGTGGATGTTTATATTCTGATGTAGAAAAAGTTTCTTAAAAAAATCCCTTATAGAAGTAAATTAATGTCACTAGCAACTATTTCCCAACACTATAATGAATACACTGACTGACGAAAACTAAGTTCCAAACCGGTCTGTAGCTAGCGGCATTCATTATGGATGGAATCCAGCAGAGTCTAGTATGGAAATGTTAACAAACACCCAGAAACATAACAAATTGACATGCACCTTGCTACTCATTAGTGTTGCGAAATAAATGTAAGTTTAAATGTGCGTTAAGTTGCTTAATAGTTATTTTCAAGCTTCTTTGAATGCATAAAATTTATGATATTTTGCCAGTAAAACTACAAGAAAATTGTGAACAGCGTAATTCCTTTGAAGTGTAATATAGAAGTACAATTTGATTTCATCATGTCTACCCTTTTAAGATTTGGTTTGTTATTTAATTTATTATTGTTCCTTGACTTTAATGTTTAAGTATTTTTTTTAAGGGACATACAACAGTCCTTTTAGGTAGGTACCCAATGATTTTCGTTTTGATTGAAAATTTTGTGGTACAACAAAAAGTAATTACATAATTTATTTTTCTTAATATTATATGTATTTTGTAATATTATTGTATATAATTTTGAAAGTCATTCAATGGCTCATGGTTGTATTATATTTAATTTAGTAAACTGCAGACATTTTATTTATATTTTCCAATATATTTTCTAAAAATATTGGCAGCTTCAATAAATTTCAACTCAAAATTATTTTTGTTAAACTTTAGTGGCTCCTATTTGTATATTTTCATTTCCCCAAGTTACTTTTTTAGAAAGTTTATTTGTAGATACCCTAATTTTCAGCTGATTCATACCTATGTGTTAGAATATTGTATAAAAAATATATTGCCATAATGTATTAAACTCGAGTTTTATTTGATTGATGAGTGGGTATATACTTACTTAGCAATGCCAGGGAGAGGAATGTTGGCACATCCAAAATATATCCGTGCCAATAAAAAATAAATTAGCGAGGGACCCAGAAGTATGAATGAACTCCCTCTGGCTTCCCATTTACTTTGGCCTGGTACAGTCAATCTGGAAGAGTTCTAAAATTAGATGGGTAAACATGTGGAAAGACGGAATTAGATATGAATCTTTCATAGATTAATCAAAATTATACCTTCGTATGTGGTTGTTTTGTTGTTTATTTTTAATTTTTTTTTTTACTACTAACCTGAGAAATAGTCATTATTCAATCTATTTTTCTAGGAAAAAATTGAATTTCTCTCCCTAGGTTAATAATGAAAATAATGAAAAAATACCTAGGTTAATAATGAAAATGACGTCATGACGCAAGGATATTGTCATGTTTTTATTGGTTCAATTTCAATTTCATACGTCAAATAATAAAAAAAAAAATACAAGTTTCTGTAGGTACCTACATAGGAAGTTATCATAAGCTGTTGATAGAGGGCAAAACTTTCAAGAGGGCGTTCAAAAAAAATAATTAAAGCACAGATTACAAATTATTCATTTTCCACCCCAACTATTTTAGGGGAGCCCTAACGATAAATATTCTCTAAAATGACATTTTACATGGAGAAATGTCAGTTTAAGGCATACCTATTGTTAAGGCTTCCCTAAAATTGTTGGTGGAGGTGGAAACTGGAAATGGCTATTAGAAAAATTAAGAAGAAAACGAAAATTCAAGATCTGGGAATAGACAAAATATGAGATGGAAAAATTGAAAAATAAAGAATAAATAAATATATACTTAGATAATATTAATATTAATAATAATACCTGAGTAAACATCAAAAAATTTGCAAAAATCTGGCGGCAGGGGCGTGGCTAACTTCTATATTCATATTCAAAATTTGCAAGAATATGGCGGCGGTACCGAATTTCTATTTGAACTGTAGGTATGCCGAGGCCATTGGAAAGGGTTGAAAAGGAAACAACCAATCAAGTACCTTGACGATACATAAACCCCGGAAAGGGGCGGAGCTCAACTAACCAATTGAATGCCCTGCTGATATCACTCGCATCTGATTGGAAAGGGGCGGGACTTATATCCAACCTATCAAATACTTTGTTGATATCCTTGCGTTTGATAACGAGTCAGCCACAGTGTTGCCAGCTTGACGGAATTATCCCCTTTTTGACGAAATTTTCTATTTTCGTTCGCAAAGGGTAGAAGCGGAATTTTTAAAGTCTGTTTTTTTTTAAAGATAAAAGTCAAAATGACATTATGTTGGCAAAACAATGTTAAATTGTCGATGCTTTAAATTTTTTTATGTAGAGAAGGTTTGTGCTGCCAACATAGTTACTAAAATTTTTGACTTGGGGAATTATCTTTAAAAAAAAACAGACTTTACTTTTTCTTTTATTTAGTCGCAAAAGTTTCATATTCAATGAAAAATTGGTACGATATACAATAGGTATACAGGGTGGGCCATTGAACTTGAGATTTTGAGATATTATTGAACTTTTTTTTTTTCCAAAAACGCGCCATTCGAGATATTGAAATGTCTCAATTTAAATTAGGGATGTTGAAAAAATATCGATATATATCAAATGGATGATATTTTTCTTCCAATATATCGATAATAACGACCGATATTTTTTGTTTCGATATATCGGTATATCGATATTAAAAGTTGACTATCGGTACTCGATATATTTATCGAGCACGATCCAAAAAAAATTCACTGCTCTACGCTCTAAGAACTTTTCAAGGCAATAATTTCGATTAAGAGGTTTCATCTTGAGCGATCCAGAGCAAGTAGAGCGGTATCATGGAAATATTTAAAAAAAAAAACCTTTCCATAGTGGCCTAGTGACAGTTATAGACAAGCAATGACATTAGACATTCAGAACAAATGAAAATGAAAAATATTTGTTTTCCTAAAGGCCGTTTTCCAGCTTGCAAGAAAACTTGAATGCAATTGTTTGCATGCAAAAAAATTGCATTCAAGATTTCTTGCACGTTTTACACCTTGCAATTTGACTTGTTTCCTTCTCTAACCTTAACCATACTTTTTTGTTTTTAATTTTGTGTTGTTGATGTTTGCATTTTCCAAAAATGAGAAAAAGTGATTATAAGTCGATATAAAAAGAAAAAAGCAATAGCAGCCACTTTAAGCATCATAATTGCTAAAAATTCCCCTGCTTGCGCGAAAACTTTCAAGAAAAATGGCACCAAACCGATTGCATGCAATGCCATTCAAGTTTCAAGAATCTTGCAGAAAACAATCAGCTGACTCACTTCTGCGCATTCCCTCGTTCAAGTTTCTTGCACATTGCAGATAGAATTGCAAGCTGTAAAACGGCCTTAACAATTAATATTTTGTTTATTCATAACTTGCTTCTAAAAAAAAACCCTGTTACGGTATAACTGGTACAGGTACAGACATAAAATAATACCACAGCATATACAAAAACAATCAGCAGGCTAACTTGAGTGACATCCCGTGTAAAGCCGGGCTCAAACGACTCGTGTACTTGACGAATAATCGTTACTTGCGTATACTTGCCATGCCGTGTGAGTGGGTTACTTGTACAATTATTTGTCACTCGTTGGTTTTCCATTTCTTGTCGGTAAAAATGTCCCGAGTCAAAAGCCGGGCTCAGACGACTCGTGTACTTGGCGAATACACAATTATTCGCGTACTTGGCAAGTATACGAGCTTTGCGAATTGCGATGGCAAGCAGGGCGCTCACACGACGTGTTCAATTTACAAGTACCCGAGCGCGAACATTTGGCTATAAACCTTGATGGTCGTCGAAAACTAAATAAAATAGTCGCAGTGAAAGCCAATTATTTGTGCATTTCGTTTGAGCGCCTCTACAAGTATGAACTTGGCAAGTGTACGAATAATCGTGATCCCTTTGACTCGGGACATTTTTACCGACAAGAAATGGAAAACCAACGAGTGACAAATAATTGTACAAGTAACCCACTCACACGGCATGGCAAGTATACGCAAATAACGATTATTCGTCAAGTACACGAGTCGTTTGAGCCCGGCTAAAGCCGGGCTCAGACGACTCGTGTACTTGGCGAATACACAATTATTCGCGTACTTGGCAAGTATACGAACTTTGCGAATTGCGATGGCAAGCAAGACGCTCACACGACGTATTAAGTTTACAAGTACGCGAGCGCGAACATTTGACTGCAGATATTTTTAAAGATAAAACAAACAAAACCTCTGTACTACGCTTCTGCTAGTCGAAAAATAAATGGAATAGTTGCAGTAAAAGCCAATTATTTGTGCATTTCGTTTGAGCGCCTCTCCAAGTATAGACAAGTATGAACTTGGCAAGTGTACGAATAATCGTGATCCCTTTGACTCGGGACATTTTTACCGACAAGAAATGGAAAACCAACGAGTGACAAATAATTGTACAAGTAACCCACTCACACGGCATGGCAAGTATACGCAAATAACGATTATTCGTCAAGTACACGAGTCGTTTGAGCCCGGCTAAAGCCGGGCTCAGACGACTCGTGTACTTGGCGAATACACAATTATTCGCGTACTTGGCAAGTATACGAACTTTGCGAATTGCGATGGCAAGCAAGACGCTCACACGACGTATTAAGTTTACAAGTACGCGAGCGCGAACATTTGACTGCAGATATTTTTAAAGATAAAACAAACAAAACCTCTGTACTACGCTTCTGCTAGTCGAAAAATAAATGGAATAGTTGCAGTAAAAGCCAATTATTTGTGCATTTCGTTTGAGCGCCTCTCCAAGTATAGACAAGTATGAACTTGGCAAGTGTACGAATAATCGTGATCCCTTTGACTCGGGACATTTTTACCGACAAGAAATGGAAAACCAACGAGTGACAAATAATTGTACAAGTAACCCACTCACACGGCATGGCAAGTATACGCAAATAACGATTATTCGTCAAGTACACGAGTCGTTTGAGCCCGGCTAAAGCCGGGCTCAGACGACTCGTGTACTTGGCGAATACACAATTATTCGCGTACTTGGCAAGTATACGAACTTTGCGAATTGCGATGGCAAGCAAGACGCTCACACGACGTATTAAGTTTACAAGTACGCGAGCGCGAACATTTGACTGCAGATATTTTTAAAGATAAAACAAACAAAACCTCTGTACTACGCTTCTGCTAGTCGAAAAATAAATGGAATAGTCGCAGTAAAAGCCAATTATTTGTGCATTTCGTTTGAGCGCCTCTCCAAGTATAGACAAGTATGAACTTGGCAAGTGTACGAATAATCGTGATCTCTTTGACTCGGAACATTTTTACCGACAAGAAATGGAAAACCAACGAGTGACAAATAATTGTACAAGTAACCCACTCACACGACATGGCAAAATTGGCAAGTATACGCAAGTAACGATTATTCGCCAAGTACACGAGTCGTTTGAGCCCGGCTTAAAGGGATCACGATTATTCGTACACTTGCCAAGTTCATACTTGTAGAGGCGCTCAAACGAAATGCACAAATAATTGGCTTTCACTGCGACTATTTTATTTAGTTTTCGACGAGCATCAAGGTTTAGCCAAATGTTCGCGCTCGCGTACTTGTAAATTGAACACGTCGTGTGAGCGCCCTGCTTGCCATCGCAATTCGCAAAGCTCGTATACTTGCCAAGTACGCGAATAATTGTGTATTCGCCAAGTACACGAGTCGTCTGAGCCCGGCTTAAAAAAGGAATTCATCGTCGAAATGTCACTAGCGGCCATTTTGGGATACGAAACAGGGCCTGATTAACGATAATTTAGGTTTTTTCTTTCTTGTCACAGAGTCGTATTGGCTTTAAATAAACTAATTTATTATTACTTACAGTTACATATAATAATATTTATGTACGACCTACACTGTAAGAGCTTATTACGTAACTCATTTTAGCCTGTTTGAGTTAAGTAATAAGTTGCATTATCGTGTTTAGTGATGTAATGAACTCTCATTACATCACTCGGTGATGTAATGAGCTCTCATTACATCACTCAGTGATGAAATGAGAGCTCATTACGTAACTCATTTTTATTGAAGAACGTCACTTTTTAAAATTCATTTATCAAAAATTATAAATATAATCTTTTGTGAAAAATTAAAACCATTTCGAATATATGAAAAAAGTCTGGATCGTACATAAAATGTTGTATATCACACGTACGGTAACGCTCATTACACCACTCGTGTGATTACCACGACTCGGTCTACGACCTCGTCTTGGCAATATTCCCCACTCGTTACTGTAATGAAGCTCATACCGTACTAGTAATATAAATAACTATTATAATTACTAATTTATTATTATTATTATTATTAAATATACAACAATGATAACAGATAACACTATAAATGACAACACGAATATACTAAAATCACTTCGAAAATCATAACTAAAATTCCGCTCTATGCCGCACGCCTATGACCTCCGTCAGAAGTAAATAATTAAAATAAAATGTCGGCGTCCCTGCCGTTTAATGACAGGATGGTATCCCCTAATGGTGGCGTGCGCAGAAAAGATGCGCGTGAGAGTTAGCCTGCTGTGATAATACTTTCACTTAGGGCCGGTTTCCCAATAGCAAGTCACCCCCTGGTTAAGCATAACTCCAGGGTAAACATAGCAACTGAATACGCTTACCTTGGAGTTAAAACCAACCCGAAGGTGACTCACTATTGAGAAACCGACCCTTAATTGAGCATTTAATTTTTTTGTCGATATATCGAAATATCGATATTTTTCAACGATATATCAAACGCTCGATACAATATTAATTTTAATTATCGATATGATATATATCGATATTTTTTTTCGATATCAACATCCCTATAAATGGACCACCCTGTATAAGTATGGGTACAACAACATCTTATTCCCGATTGTAAGTGAAGGCGCAATAATTGTTTTTTTCCATTACCGCACGTAAAGTAGTTACGTTACGCATCTTTTAGAAGACATAAAATGTCACGTACCAGTGCGTAAAGTAGTTTTTTTACTACTAACCTGAGAATAAGTACCTAAGTCATTATTACATCAATTTTTCTGGGAAAAAATTGAATTTCTCTCCCTAGGTTAATAATGAAAATAATGAAAAAATACCTAGGTCAATAGTGACAATGACGTCATGACGCAAGGATATTGTCATAACGTAACAGGTTTCTATTGGTTTAATTTCAGTGTTAAACTGTCAATTTTAAAAAAAGCAGGTTCCTGTATGTAGGTACATTATAGGAAATTATCGTAAGCTGTTGATGAAGGGCAGCACTTCCGACAAGAGAAAATAATTTGAGCACAGGTTTCAAGCCTATTTTTTTTTTCTACTAGCAGTAGTAAAAAAAATTCTATATATCCCTCGGTAGAGAAAGTCATTATATACCTACCTTATGGGCCCCATACACTACGATGAAACACGACGGTTTTCACCGCCACGATGAAACACGTCGTTCTAAAACCGAAGTGTGTTATAGAAAAACACGACGGTTTTCTACAGGGCCCCACAGACTACGAGGAAACACGACGGTTTTCATCGCCACGATAAAACACGTCGTTCCAAAACCGAAGTGTGTGGTAGAAAACCGTTGTGTTTCATCGTCGGTTCAAAATTCAGTCCGAGCTTGATTTTTGGCACGACGGTTCAACATTTCGTACACACGAACGGTTTTCTACCACACACTTCGGTTTTGGAACGACGTGTTTCATCGTGGCGATGAAAACCATCGTGTTTTCTCGTAGTCTGTGGGGCCCTGTAGAAAACCGTCGTGTTTTTCTATAACACACTTCAGTTTTAGAACGACGTGTTTCATCGTGGCGGTGAAAACCGTCGTGTTTCGTGTTTCATCGTAGTGTATGGGCGGTTACACACGGATGTGGATGTCTTAATACATATACGTGCATACATCAACGTGCAAACAACAACGTGCATGGCGCTTTTGTACAGACGCTCGCACAAAACTGCAGTCTTGCTATTAGGCGGTTACACACGGACGTGGATGTCTGGAAACATGTACGCACGTCGCACATACATGAACGCGCAAACAAAAACATCAATGTGTATGCAAAATATCGTCGCGTTTTTGAATGTGCAATTTTGTATGCACACTCGGAATACTGTAGCAAGAATAGCAAGACTGCAGTTTTGTGCGAGCGTCTGTACAAAGGCGTCATGCACGTTGTTGTTTGCACGTTGATGTATGCACGTATATGTATTAAGTCATCCACGTCCGTGTGTAACCGCCCATTCTTGCTACAGTATTCTGAGTGTGCATACAAAATTGCACATTCAAAAACGCGACGGTATTTTGCATACATATTGATGTTTTTGGTTGCGCGTTCATGTATGTGCGTACATGTTTTAAGACATCCATGCCCGTGTGTAACCGCCTTATGGGGCCCTTTACGCATTATAAACCTCGGGTTTATAAGAGCGCTCGGTATATAATGACCAACTTCTTTACCTAGGTATATAATCTACTATTTTTCTATGACGGGAAAAAAGTAGATTTTTTGTACGGGAAAAAAGTGATTTTTTTGTCCCACGGGAAAAAAGTAACAGGTACCAGTCAAATTTTTTTCTCAAAGGGAAAAAAGTATAAGTACCTACGGTCACAGAAAAAAAAAATGTATAGATGGAAAATAGTGAGATTTTCCCGTCACAGAAAAAAATAGTGTATTATAGACGGAAAAAAGTAAGATTTTAGCGCTTGCTGTGTTGTCTACTACAACTACACCTCGCGCTAAAATCTAGTACTTTTTTCCCTTGTATAATAAATAACTATTTCGCGCTCATTTTAGCACATGAGAATACCAGGGTGACCTAACATTGCATAAGTGATATTTTCATGACCTAAGATGCGTGCAGAAAAAAGCACTTTTCGAGTTCTCGTAGAAAAAAATAGAAAAATACACTATAAAATAGACGTTTTTGGGCGTGGCATTCGGAAAAAAATTTCCGTCTCCGGCGAGCTTTCCCCTTCCCCCTATAGGCAAATTTATAAAGTTATTATCCTGCACCCATGGGGATTTTCAAAAGTCGGCACCTCTGCAAGCAGGTACTCAAAATATTTGACATAATCAAGTAAAAATCAAAGTATTTTAGAATAGATATTAGAAGTACAAGTACATAACAAAAAAAGTAATTCAAGTGAAATAAAGTACATACTTTTATGTACTTGAAGTAGAATTTCAACTAATTCACTTCAAATATTGACAGCTCCGAGTACAATGAACTTATTGTTTATAAAGGGCTTTCAGGAATTTTAACAGTCTTCCAAATGACATCAAGTTCAGCGTTTCAAAGATGGGCTGTGGGATAACAATTCAGGCTAAAAATTAATTAAACCACTATTGCATTTACTTGATGTGATTGGGTGAACCAGAGTAATGTGCTGTTATCTTCATAAGGTTTTCACTTGTATGTCTATTAGTCTAATAGGCATGTTTTCTTATATTTTATTTTTGTCCATATTAGGTGTACCAACCTACTTAATAAATATATATTTTATTTCATCTTCCTATAGTCTAAAATAGTTTCCAAAACACTTGCACAAAACTCATTATTGTATTTGAAGCTTGCTATAGATGTATCATTTTCCGAATATTGCTGTTAAAATAACAGAGGTCTAATAGAACCCCTATGATAACGTTAATTTTTTGTACAAAATCATTGAAAAAATTTCATCTTGTGTTCCTATTCTCCTTCTTAGAGACAATTATTTAAATATAGGACAGAGTACTTTTTAACCACCTCATTTGTCTAATTAACAACTTTTCCATACAAAAAAGCACCAACATTTAATTACTTATTTATTTTTATACAAAAAAAAATCCCAATTATTTTCAACAAATAAAATATCTGAAACATTTAACAAATTTTTCTTTCATTAAAAAAGTATATTACTTTAAAAAAAAAAACCTATAAATACAAAGGAATTGTACATCTTACAGCCTGTACTTTGTCCAATCTGAAGTAATATCAATCAGATATCCATGCTCCGTTTGTACTGGCTCCATCTCGAGTTTGTCTTATCAACAAAAAAACAAGAAGACAAACCCTTATCCTTATTTAAGAAGAAAAATTGAAATTTCGGGCAAATAATTCAATCACACCAGTTGTTCATTACTGCTTGCTGATAAATCTAATAGTCTCCAGGCTGCTCTAGGATCAGTTTCACTAATATCCCTACATAAAACCCAAACATATGTTACTCTCATTATCTTATCTGGGTCTCCTTCAACCACATTTCCCTGAGAATCTCTTACGGCCATTACTTGTTGGGAAGTAAATGAAATTATTAGAACAGGACCTTGTTCCATTACTTTACCCATGACTAGATCTACATTATCTATATCTAAGATTTTTGACTCTATTTTATAACCTTTCGTGTAAGCTTCTTTTATAGGAATCGAGAAGAGATTGTAAGGACCTTCGTGACACCAGTCTTTTAGAACTTCCAAATCACCCCTAGTCATAGCTTCCAATACATTGGGTATTATGTCAGCTTCGCACTGTTTTAAAAATCGTTTAGTATCAAAACTGTTGTCAATTTTGCAGATTTCAGTTAAAGTTTCTGAAAGCTCAGTTTTCTGAAATAGTCCTCCCATAATATCTGATACTTTTTCAGTTAGCACCCTTGAAGCCCTTATTACTGGGTTTTCACTTTCATCAAATTTTAATTTCCAATCCATGACTTTGTGAACATATGGATTATTGTCTCTGAAAGTAAATACAATATATTAGTTTGTGGTTGATTAATGTTACAACAGAGTTATTACTTGAAATTTTGCCATGACTGATAAAATTTAGAATCTTTATGTAGCTCAATACCCATCGCTTCTGTGTTTGGTTCGTAATGTTTTTGGTTTTGTACCGCCGAGGTTTCTGTTCTTTTCCGAAGTTTTATTGGACTAACGTAAACTCTACCTTGCATACTATTGGTATCCATTTCTTTTTTAACTGCTTCTGTAGCTTTGCTGATACTTTGAAAAGCATTAGTTTTACCTATTTCTTGTGCTTTTTCCCCAATTGAATGTGTGGTTTTTGAAATCTCCTCTGAAATCTTTCCAGCTTTTTTCACAAGTTCAGTCTTACCAGCCTCGTCTATGACACTGGATACTTTGTCTTTGATAGTACTGAATCTTTCCTTAAAAACATCACTGCTTTTCGTTGCCTCTTTTTCTACAGTTTCAAACTTCTGACGGGCCGCTTTTAATGCATCACTTTGCTCTAGTTTTTCTGCTTCTTCTTTGAATTTTTTTAAAGATTCTTTCATCTCTTTGTTTTTGGACATTTCTTCTCTAAAATTGTCGTATAATCTCGACAAGAATGTGGGTCGTTTTTGCGGCTCTCTCGAGTAGTACCGAACCTAAAAATTGATTCATTTTCATTCTTTAGTAGTTGGGTTTTGTTATAATTAAATAACCATGAAACTTACCCCATTTTTTGATGTCCGTGCGGCCTGATAGAACAGAAATTTGCTAATTTGATGCATGTTTATTTAAAGTAATTTCTAGTTTACCAGGGGCACGTTTTTGAAGGATTCACTTTATAACCTCAAAAATTATTTACGGTTTTACGGTTTCAAATGAAGCGGAAAAGCCAGTTTTTTAAACAAAAATTAATGTGTTAACTAAGAAAAAAAGGATAAAAAGGTGTTAAATAATCATTTGTAAAATATTTAGGATTTCTTTTATAAGGTTTTTTTTGACGGGTAAAAGCCGGATGTCATTTTTGATATATTGACATGAGTGACATGACATATTATGGAAATCATCATGGTTTTCAACTGGATCTGTTGGATGTGCTCCGATCAGATCCGAACCGTGCGATTACTTAGGCGAGTTTGGTTAATCCTCTGCGAGTTAAAAAAAGATGACAGATAGAAGGTCACGTGATCTTCCATTTGGAATAATAAAACTCTTCACGTGAGTCCGGTCATCTTTTTGCTAGCGGAGATTTAACCGAACGCGCCCATTGAGCCATTGACGAGTTTCTAATGACAAAAGTGACAGACTCTCAGACAGAGGTTGTGTTCTTTTTTTAGCTGGCAGTACTGGGCTGGGATCACGACAAGTAGAATTCTACTAGAACTCTACTTTCATGACGTCAGGTTGCCTAGCAACTGTTATCATCTCCTGTAATTTTTTTCTACTGTACGCGATAAATAGGTCGCGGGTGACGTCATGAAAGTATAATTCTACTTGTCGTGATCCCAGCCCTGGTCACTGGATTTCTGCTGTAAGGTTTATGACTTTGACTGTACTGAATTTGTCGTTTCTTTTTCAACCAACATGCTGTATTATTAACTACTTCATTGATTATTATACTGGTTGATTTTGGAACGAATTCCAGTAATTATTGACATTTGTCCGGCGACAAAGCTCACCTGCACTGTAAACCTAACAACATGAACCGCTTTCCAGCTGACATTGAACCGAATTTTCGCGACGAATGTAGTTCATCCAAGAAGGAACCATAGTTTGTTTGTGACGTCATGAGTTTGAACGCTGGCTAGAAGCTGCATCCATGCTTCCGTTGAACTACGTTCAATATGACGTCATGAGTTTCTCGCGAAAGCGTTTGTGTTTATGAAATAATGGAAGTATAGTTCGTCGTGAAAATTCGGTTATTTGCCTCGGCTGCGCTTCGCTTCGCGTCGGCTATTTGAATACACCTCGCACCTAGAACTTAGAAGTACGCTTTCGCAGCTTAAAATGTAAATACCTATTTCCATTCGTAGGTCGATCGAGTGTACGCCACTGGTATTGTCCTTTTTCTGACCCCCTGCTCAATCTTTCCATGTTAGTATGAATTCAATCCTATGTACAGTTTTTGAATAATGATACAGTTTTGTATATTTTCGTATGGCTCTCCATTCGTAGGTCGATCGAGTGTACGTAGGGGTGCCAAGTTTTTGAAATGGAAGAGCGAGAGGTTTAAATTTTTGGGTGCCCCGCCCAAATTTTTACGAAGTAGTGAAAACACCCAATCAGTCAAATGTACCAAATTACTTGCCAACTCGTTTCCAATTTTTCCGGAAAAATTAAGAGCACTTATGTAAAATCTGTTTTTTTTTAAAGATAATTCCCCAAGTCAAAAATTTAGTAACTATGTTTTTTACATTGTATTGCCAACCTAATGTCAGTTTGACTTTTATCTTTAAAAAAAAACGCACTTTATGATATTACCCCCGAGAAATTATTTTCCTTTTAATTACACCCTTATTCTTACTCTGGCCAAGGTTGTTTGACTGAGGTAGGTTGCCTGATAACTTTATGACGTCATCTGAGGCGCCTAAGCATAATGTAAATCTCCATAAGGCAATGCAAGTACGTCATCAAGTTACCCATTATCAGATAACCTATGAACTTTGGGAACATTTAAAGCTATTTAGATCTGCTTGGAGCAAGAAGAGTAGATTTAAATGAAAAGGCTTTGGAGTGCATGCGTAATCGATGGTAAAATGAATGGCAAGACTAAGTTGCCTGATAACTTTAATGACCAACCAATGGCCTCAACATAATGCAAATCTCCATAAGGCACCCTCGATGACGTCATCAAGTTACCCATTACTCATTAGTCATTACTCACTCATTACCAGACCAAGGTTCCTTTACACAACCTACTGCCTAAATATTAAATCAAGATGCAAATGCCCGATGGCGAAAAAAATATATATATTTTGCTAAATATTGAATTATTATTATTTTTTTTTAGTCAAATGCGAAATTGTTGCAAAGCGGGAGTTAGCGGGAGTTTTTGTGGCGATGTTTTACGGCGGGAGGCATGACAGAAAAGCGGGAGTCTCCCGCCTAAGGGCGGGTATTATAAAACTACTTTGAGAGTTAACTTAAAGTAAACTTCTGGAATTCCATGTAATTCAAAAAGTTAACTCCAAGTTAACTGTCAAAGCAGTTTTATAATACCCGCCCTAAATCGGGAGGATTGGCAACCCTAAGTGTACGCCACTGATATTTTCCTGTTCCTGACTTCTGAATAATCATACAGTTTTCTATGTATAGTTTTTGAATAATCATAAATACAGTTTCCTATATTTCCAGCATTTCCTCTGGGTCAAGAGTACGATAAAGAGTTTCTGAGATATAGCTGAGTGCCATTTTTAATGAATCACGCTGTACATCAAATTTTGGGTATAATAATTATTCACGATTGTCGTTCTTCTCGTTCTTGAATGAAACAAAACAATCGATACCCCATCACTCCAATTTAACTGGATTACAGTAGCTTTCCAGATACAGCAAGCACAGTACTATTAGTGACGTATTGGTGACGTCATACGTGATTTTTTTTAGTGTTTTTGAACGAAACCTAATAATCGACACCCTACCACTTTTATTGAATTACTGTAGCTTCCCGGATACAGCAAACACTGTACTGCACAGTACTAAATTAGTGACGTCATACGTCTTTTTTTCAGTAAGGGCCGAATTTATAGTGGCTCCTTGAGGTTTCCTTGGACCTTAAGGAAGCCTTGAACGTTTAGAATTGACATGACTAACTTGTCAAATAATACCAAGTGTCCATTCTGAACTCACGACCTTTAAGGCAGACTCAAGGAATGACTATAAATTCGGCCCTTAATCACTGTACACTGGGCCGAGTTCAGAAATAACACACAGGGTGCGAGTGGCCATTGGGCCCATAGCACCGTTTAGCATTTTTGAACAGCTAGGGCGCCGCACCGGTGTCACACTCACACTGGATGTGTCATTCCTGAACTCGCCCCTGAATTTTAATTTTGGGACGCTTCCCAGTAAATACAGTACTGACACCTAAAAAAAAACTGAGCCAGAATTAGATTACCTTGCGTTCGGTATTTTGCTCAAAGAGCAGAGCGTGCTGAGCGGAGCCGTAATCTCGTGCCACCGAGCTAACGGAGCAGTTGAACGCTGTATCGGAGTGCCCGAAATTTTAATAAACGAACGCGAATGAGCCTGCACCGAGTACTCTTTTTAAATAAACGAACGGTAAATTCAATCTCGGAGAACTCATATCAAAATACCGAACGCACGTTAAGTCTATCAGCATGGCGAAAGTCGGTACACGTTTGTTTCGTCATTTCGCCTCCTTATTTTGTGATTTCTGCAGAGATAGACCTAGTATCGACCTTGTTTGTATACGATAAGCCATATCCATATGATCTATGACGCTATCGAGCTACTCCAGCTCCAGCCTGCAAACACTTTCGATGACAAAAATAGAGGCTTTTATTTGTTACTTTATTAATTATATTGTTTTATTTTTCAATAAAAGGTTGATTTATATTAATTTTGTTCTTTGTTAGACGTCGCGAGTTATCACGTAAGTGTTCCAGTGCTATTTCATTTCAATACAGAACAGCCAGAACAGTTCTAGAGCAGAAAAAAGAAAAAAACATTCCTCTATAATTTTGATTTTTTAATGCAGTGCAGCAGATTTTTTTGTTTGTTTGTCGCAGCTGTGGTTGCGGTTTAGCTGAAAAGGCAGCATTTTTATTTTGCTGACTATTACAATATTCTCACTGTGACTTTATTAGACGCCTCATAGCATAGTCCCATAGGATTCAAGAAAGGTAATATTTAATGTACATATAAATTTACATGACTTCAACCAATTAGGTTATGTTATAAACATTCCAGACATAAAAATGGGCCAAAAAAAAGCACCCAAACCCAACGCCTACTCAATGTTCGTGCAGGACTTGCAAAAGCAGCACCCCCAAAAGTATCGCAAAATGCAAGACGCCTTCGAATCGGCAGCACCTTTGTGGGCAGTAAGTATATTCATCTCTCGCACTTATTTCCTTTAAAACCGTATTCTTTGTCCAGAGAATGTCAGCAGAACAGCGCAAGCCTTACGAAGACAGAGCTAACAGAATAAAAGGTTCATCTCAACGTTTTACATCCCAGGGAGTCGATTTGCGCATCTTGAACGCCGAAGAACAATCACGAACTGAAGCGGAGAAAACTGAACGCGAAGAAGTCCAACAGGTTATTGGTTTAGCAAGTCGAAGGGGAAGTAAGAAATGTTCATTTTGTTTTATAAAACTATTTCTAAACTCCAAATATTTGTTTGTTAGTGGTATGGCAATTTACTGATAAACTTATTGACACTAAATTAAATATTACAATTTCCATTTTTACGTACAAAGAATAACATGTTTTTAATATTTTGCATAAAAATTGTATGCAATTATTGGTAATTATAGGTACAGAGGAAAAAAAAAACTATGATTCTGTATCAGATTTTCAATAGTTCAATGTGGTTTTATGGCTGATAGAGCTTCTATGTTTTGAAATTTGGTTTTTCTTTTCAACTAAAGGTCTGTTTTCACAGAAATCACAAACCAGCCAGAGTGAATTTCATTGGTTGAAAATAGTCATGAAACTGTTTGTTGGGGATTTGGACCAACTCAAATCGCTCTGACTGGTTTATGATTTCTGTCCAGTAATTCCTCAAGAAGTTGCAGTAAATCGCCTCTGACTCCAAAATGAGATTGCTTGTATAGTAAGGATATTGTTGGTATCTTATCAAATGCTTGTTCAAAGTCAAGGAAAATTACATCAGTGTGATCATTCTCATTTTTTGTCTTTGCCCATGTATTGAGTCTGGTCTGGTTTGTAGAAGTAGACGTTTTTGGAGAAAAAACCATGTTCTTTGGGTGATACAATATGAGCTTCAAGGAAAAAGCTTGCAAGTTCCTCAGCAATGATTTTTTCCATACATTTACATAAGGTGCTGGTCAGGCTGACTAGCTTCTAGTTATACAGGGTGTCTGGATATTCGACCAACAACGCTTGAAAGATCTTAGACCTTGCATTTTCATGAAAATTGAGCTAGGAACATGCAGCCCTAAAGTGCTTAGTTTTCAAGATACAGGGTGTCGAAGTTTTTTTTTTATTTTCGATTTTTGTCAATTATTCCTCAATAAAACGACCCAGCGATGCGAAATTACGTATCGGGGGGTTTGGTTTGTTAGGGCGAGAAATACAAATTCATTCACGGTTTTGATATCACTACTAGGGGTCGCCACGTACAGCACATTGAAGTTTTTAAAATTATCAAAACTTTTTTCCAGTCTGCTGCAACGATTTGAATATTAAAAAAATCGATTCTCCAACGTTTTTTACGTAAAAAAGGTGTACTTTGTTCAAGTCCCTAGAGGTAACCGTTTCCAAGATAATCTTCATTGAATTTTCCAATGCAACGGAACTAATTGTTAGAATTTGGAGGAAAAAATTATTGGTATTCGGGCAAGAATAAATTAAATAAACAAAATCAATTTGGCGAAATTGGGCGAACCTTTGATGTTTAAATTGATAGTGGCAACACTTGATTCATGTGTGAAAGATTACCTATTGAAGTTTATTCTGTTCCTAAATTATGGAATTAAATATTCCTTCCCTCGTAAATTTTGCCTTGTCTGTGTGTTATACATATTTGGGAAAATTTTGATTTTCACGACACATTTGTGAAAACCACTTTGCAAAATCCACTCACGGGATAGTTTCTCGGTTCTAATGCCTGCACTCCATACATTTTATAAGGGTATAGCAATTGTTCCTTCAAAACTTCATGAACAGTTGATTTGCTCACGTTCAAGGCCCGTCCTGTTGTTCTAGTACTTAGGGATGGTTTTTCAAAAATTCTATTCAATATTGCCTCTTCTACACGGACACTTCTAGTAAAGTTCTTTGCCTACCTGCATTATTCCTTATAACAAGTAAACTACCGGTTTCTTGCCTTCTTTCCACACTATTGAATGTTGAATGATGGGGTATTCTACAATTCGGGAACTTTTCTTCGTACAATCGTGCTGCTCTTCTACCATTCTTTCTGGCCTCTCCATATACTAATAGCATTTCAGTAAACTCATCGAAGGAATAATCCATAATTTATGAAGAGAATAAACTCAAACTCCTGAAATAATTAATGAGAAAATTTCCTTCAGGTAATATTCAGGTGAAAATACAGAGGCGTCTGGCAATTTTGGACCAATAGCAACCAAATTACAGCAATAATTTTGCACAAGTGCAAATTATCAATAATTTGCACAAGTGCTTATGCCGATAATTTTTTTCAGGTATCTTTTACCTGACTCAACGAGTTATTATCAGCTTTGTACTCAGTAAATTAGTCACAAATTATCAGCTTTCTATACAGTAGATTAGACTATTTCCAAATCGACGTTCGAGGTATAATAATTCAGGAAATTTTCTTATAAAATTTAACTCGTGCAATGAAAATATATCTATAATTTTTGAAAAATTTGCACTCATGCGTTGATTTTGTTTATTTAATTTATTCTTGCCCGAATACCAATAATTTTTTCCTCCAAATTCTTACAATTAGTTCCGTTGCATTGGAAATTTCAATGAAGATTATCTCGGAAACGGTTAGCTCTAGGGACTTAAACAAAGTACACCTTTTTCATGTAAAAAACGTTGGAGAATCGATTTTTTTAATATTCAAATCGATGCAGCAGGCTGGAAAAAAGTTTTGATAATTTAAAAAAGTTCGATGTGCTGTAGGTGGCGCCCCCTAGTAGTGATATCAAAACCGTGAATGAATTTGTATTTCTCGCCCTAACAAACCCAGAGTTGGCATAGAATTTCCCCAGGTTATAAAACCCAGTGGGATTTTTCGGGTTTTTTCAGTTGATAAAACCCACCATTATTGGGGTTTTTGGGTTTTTTTAAAAATAGCGAATTTTCAGTTCAGAATGAGCGTCATTTTCGCAGGAAATATCAGGGATTCTTCGATGATTCCCCAATTCTCGGCTGTTCGCTGTTGGCGTTTGGTGTGGAGGCTTGGGCAGGGACTCCGTGCCATGTAGAATTTGACATATTGAATGTGCCGAGCCGGAGCCTATACAATCCTGTCGATATGTAGAATTCTGCATGACATGGAGTCTTTGGGCTGACCAGCCAGAGGCATGGTGCAGTGCACTGTATACTGATGCTATGTCTAATTATTTATATTAAGTGGCTTGCTTTATGTTGTAAGGACATTTTAATTTTGCAACGAAAGTCATAACTTTGGAATACTTTTGCTAGAGCAGAAACTTTAAATCAAATTTGAAGAAAAAAACGGAAACCCCCGAAAGCCAGAAAAAAACCCAAAAAAAACCCGACGGGTTGAACTTTTTCAAAATAACCCGGGTTTTTTCCAACCGTGAACAAACCCCCCGATACGTAATTTCGCATCCCTGGGTCGTTTTATTGAGGAATAATTGACAAAAACCGAAAATAAAAGTAAAACTTTGACACCCTGTATCTTGAAAACTAAGCACTTTAGGGCTGCATGTTCCTATCTCAATTTTCATGAAAATGCAAGGTCTGTCACCTGTCAAGCGTTGTCGGTCGAATATCCGGACACCCTGTATATTCTATCTTTTGTTCCCCTTTTTGAATAACTATAGCAACTGCTTTTGTCCAAGGTTGTGGAAAATTTCCTGTGAATATAATATCATTCATAAGTGCTACTAGAGACACCTTTAGAGTGTGCAAACCATTTTTAAAGAATATAGGAGGGTTGGAGTTCACCTTTAGGGACTTGATGGCGATCTCTACCTTTTCTGGGGTGAAATTTATGGTGTTGATTTCTGTTCTGGAGTAGGATTCAACTGGAAGTTTTGATCTCTTATAGGGCTGAGTTTAGTAAAAACACTCTGGAATTGCTGTGCAAAACACTCTACAACCTCCTTGAGAGATTCAAATGTGACTAGAGTTGCTTTGTCAACAATACTGAAGTGAGTGAGGGTGTTTAGAGTTAGATGCTGGTACTGTTGGTAATTTTCTTTAGTATCGTTGTGCCTATATTTGTGCCACAAGTCTCTTTTCCTGAATACTGCTGTAGTTAATCATGGTTTTGGACAAATGCTTATTGATTGTAAATACCAAAGTTTCAGAAAATTCTTCATATTAATGGGTTAGTAGCCTGTGCAAGGGGTTGCTAAAGGGTTTGGCTTACTTCAGTGTAATCTGCCTTCCAAAAGTCTCTTTTGTACATTATTTATGTGTAGGCTGTGCAGTTATTTGAAGCTGTGTTTTGGCAGTTATTACAATGTGGTCACTTTTTCTAAGGGGTACATGTTTTTGAACATCAAAAATTAATTTCTTCTCATTTACAATAATCAGGTCTAGAAGAGATGTCTGGTTTTTCCGGAACCCCTTTAGGAACATTTATATGTTGGTGACCTCTATGGTTCTTTTAGCTGTCCAGAAAGTCCTAACTACACTGGTTGTGCGGATGTACTTCTAATAATGTTTCCTAGTTCATTTCAGGGTAGTTGGAAGTCTCCCATTATGTAGCAACACCGGTTCTTTTAGTGACATTGCATTTTCGATAACTATTACTATAGTTCTGTGTTATGTTCTTTGTCTGTTTTTTGCTTAGGTCTGTAAATACATGCTATAGGAAATTTTATCTTACTTCAGGCAATATCAAGCCATAGGGATTTAATGGGTATTGTGGTTGATTGTTGTGTGAATTTTGTGCCCTGCAATATATTTTTTTTACAAAAACATATAAGCCTTCTCCCTCTGCTCCTCTGTATTTGCGGAACATTATTTGACTTGGTATATGGATTAAGCTATCTGAAATGCGATCATTTAATCATGTTTCGGTGATTAGAATTATGCATGCGTTGGTGTTTTGTATGGTTACCTAAAGTTCATCAATCTTGATTGTCATAGAACACAGATTGCTATACCACAGAGAGATTTCAATTTTAGATGTTTCTAGTTTTTTGATTGTTCGTTAACTTTGGCTATGAAGTTAATGTATTTAATCTTTATGTCATTTTTACCTTGATAATTTTTTCTTTTAAGTTCTAAGAGATCTGCTAAAAATTTTCTCTGCATCTGAGTTTGATCACTCTTTATGTAGACTGCAGTGTTGCCTAGTTTGTATTTTTGTCTCATTGCTTTTTTTGCATGATCTTTGGGGATGTGAAGGATATTTTAATAATAGGTCTCACCTTTTCTGTATTGTATTTTCCTAGTCTGTAGTGTAGACTCATGTCACTATTAGATACCTCAACATCTTATCTGCTGCAGAATATCCTTCACTGTGTTTAGTTCAGCTTTGATTCCCTCCTCTTTGATTTGTATATCAAGTTCCTTCACTCCTCCAAACAGCCATATATTTGCTGAACGTCTTTCTCTTTCCATCATTTCTTCAAGGTTTTCAAACTTTGTTCGTTGAAATCTGGCTGAGGCTTCTCCTATCTCACCATAAAAAACTACCATTTTCTGATGTCTTTCAAGTTAGCACAATACAAACCAGCAATCCTTTCTATTAGTAAAATATTTAAGTACATATTAAAAAAACATTTTTTAAATCTAATAATTATCATTGTATTATTTTTTGTTTCACTTAGCCTTGGCCAATGAAACCTTTTTCATAATACACTGCAACATATTCTGTCACTATCCAAACATGAAAAGATATTACGGAGCAGAAATTGCTGTAGTTTGTTTTAATCTCAAAGACGGCGTAAAACCTGGAAACGTTTTCCATTTTATGGTGAAACCAGGTCCCTTACCAATGGGTTATAAGTTTGACGCCCAACAACACTCAGATAATACTCATTGTATTCCAATCCCAACAGACGATGACGAAGAAGATAATACTATGGAAATTTATTACGCATTAAAATCTTTCCTTCAGGTAATTTGTTTATTGATCTTAAGCAAACAATTTAAAACACAAATTTCAGAAAAAAAATCAAGGCGGACCTAATTTGCCAATATTATACGCTAGCAGTAAAAATGTTAAAGTAGTTAAAGGCATGTTGGACTATTGGGCTGGATGTGACGAAGATGAAGATCAAACATTTAGAGTTTATGATTTACAAGTAAGAGTTATTTTGTTCTAAGCTCACTAGTTGACTGTTTTCATTTCTAGAAAATGTTCTTGGAATTGAGAAATGCTTGCGCAGGTGAAATGGTTTGGAGTTCACTTACGTTTAGCGACCGCGAATTAGAAAAAGACGTTTATGATTATACAGACGAAATTGCTTGCGATTTTCACGCAAAGACTCCTAAAACTGTATATTGCAGCAAATCACTTGTCACGCGTTATGTTTATATTGTATGCGATAATTGCATTAGCGATTTAGGAATTGAATTTATTTGTGGGCAACATGTACCAAAGAAAAGTACAATTCCGCAAGATAAAGCCTGTGGTTGGAGCGGGGCTAGAGATTCTGTGGCAGGTAGTAGCTTAAGGGTAAGAGGTTTTTTTTTTTAACTTTGATTTGTTTTGCTAGAGTGTTGTTTTTAGGACTTTGACACAGATTTTGATTCAAGTTCAATGGCTGATACTTGGGAAAAAAGTTCAGTGAGGAGCACATCGACTGTGGTTTCTCATTTTGATGACGATTTTCCTTCTTTGGGGCAGAGACAGAGGCGCAATAATAATGTAAGATTGCGATTTTTATTATTATTATTATTTTTTTTGTTAATTTGATTTGTATATGTTTTTGTAGAGCAACGCTTCAGAGACCAATGTGTCGGCTTCCAGTAGTAGGAGCTATGCTGGAGTCACCACAATAAATACTCGTGAGTATATTTGTAATTTGAAATTGACAACAGCAAATAGTTTTTAAATTTGTAAATGATGTTCAGTTTTGTCTAGTGATGTACACTGTGGGCCAAATTTATTTGGAACCCAATTTGGCTCTGAATATATTTTTTCCGATTCGGCGGATTTTTGTAAAATTTTGTGCGAATATTAGGGGGGCCTTTCCTCATTTGTAAAAAAAATATCTAATCAAAATGTACAGGGGGAGCCAAGTAAGAAGCAGTATTTTGAATCATTGCCTTTGAGGCTGTTGCGAAATAATAATTTTTACTCTAAAACTGCATAAATAATTTGAAAATATTAAGAAAATATCGGAAAAGAGGCTCTGAAAAAATGTTTCGAAAAACTTCAGGTTTTGTATTTAAAACGTATTTTTTTCGAAAACTTTGTTGAAAAATGTCAAAAACTACAATAGAATTATTTTATTATTGATTATTTATGTTAAGGTTATATTTATGACAAAATGTGACAACAATTTGATAACGACAGTTGGTACATTTGGTGGTCATCATAAAAGAAAAGTAGTGGGCGTGAAAACCCGGCAAGTTTTTCTAAGGAAGAGAAAACTTCGTGTTAAGACGAAGACAAAATGACGGACCAGGTTGGAGTAAATACTATTAGGCAATTCAATCCATCTGTCAAAAAGGAAAATTCAATGTGGCTTGGCGGCCAAGCAAGTTTGTTTTGAATATGTTTTTATGTGTATTTTAAATTATTTTGCATACAGTTTTGCTTACAACTTTGATTTCCATTATTTAATAAAATATTTGTTAACTAGGTACGTAAACTATTAATTCATGCAGAAACTAGATATTTTTTTGTGTTTTTTGGCCCATGTGTGGCCGCCACGCCATCTTGAATGTCACGTGGTTTGAATTGCCTAATTACAAAATTCAATGAAGAAAATTGGACCTTATGGAAATTTTAGGTAGAAATAATATTAAAATCCAAAGGTTTTTTTGAGGTTGTTGAAGGATCAAAGCCGAGACCAACTGAAGGCGATGTAACTGCTTGGGATAAAATAGACGTAAAAGCCCAAGAAATAATTATTGTTCTGAGGTTGGGAGAAAAAAATTTGACACACATTTTGACATGCAAAACGTCTGCTGAAATGTGGATGAAGTTAAATAGCTATTTATATACAAGTACATAAAGTAAGGCTTTATTGTACGAATAATTTTATGGCCGAGCGAGCTTGCGAGCGAGGCTATTAAATAATGAGTCAATAAAGCCTGTTTATGTAAGCGTTATATACATGATTTTATGTACGATTATGACTGGATTTTGTTAAAAGTTAAAAAAATTTAATGAAAAAAGTAAAATTTGCGTAGGTATACCTGTTTCACCTTGGTCGGTTGTCAGGACCTGTTTCACCTTGGCAGGTTGTTAGGACCTGTTTCAACTTGTCAGGTAGTCCAGGTAGGCAATAAAGTAGCACTTTATTTTACTAGTAAAATAAAGTAGCATTTTATTTTACTAGTACAATAAAGTGCTACTTTATTGACGCAAAACTGTTCTATAAATAGCACTTTATTGGTCAATCGGACATAAAAGAATTTATGAACATCAGTCGCAAGTATTATAAGTCGCACATCCCATTCAAAACTGTATCAAGTAAAAAAAAAACAAAAACGGGATTATCTCAGTAGCATGCAGAAAAACACCGAAAGTTTATCCGTGCAAAACCGTATTAACGTAAGTTCAACCATTTTTCACTAGATGGGGTCACTTGATTTGTCATATATCAAAAATGGCACGAGATCCCCATGCAAAACAGTATTAAACAGTATTATTTTGGCGTTTATAGGGGATGGATCGTGTGTTTCCCTTCAAAAGCGTATTAACGTTAAAAGTGCGGTCATAAAATAGGAATTTTTTAGTGGAAAAGTGCATCATTCCAATTTACTACCCTTTTCTCCCAAAAGCGAGGTAAGTATGTAAACAATGTCTTGGATTAAAACTGTATTATCTCAAGTTGATACAGTTTTTTTCGGAATCCGCAATAATATATATTATATTCAGGTTTATAAAAGAGTATTATCTTGGTTTAAGACGCTTTTGCTCGAGAGTAATACCAAATATTAGAATTGCTTCAAGAGAAAAGAGCCTCTTTTTGAGTTAATACAGTTTTTTTCGAAATTATGTATTATTTTATGAAATTATAATGGTTATAAAAGGACATTTTTTCGATTTATTATGCTTTTTCTCGAGCGAGGTTGTATTTTGATACAATTTTTTCTACTGAAAAACAAGAAAATTAATCAAGAAAATCATAATTATTATTTCAAGAAAAAAATTATAAAAAATAAATTTTCTTTGTGTCTTTTAGAATGTCAATCAGGGCAAGAACTGCTAGAATTTTGAGTGCTGCTGCTAAAGTAGTTGCAACGGAATTGCAACTTGCTGAGCCAGTTTGTGGAATCCAAAATGATTTGACATCTGTAAATAGTGCTAGTCCTCATTATAATGCAGAAAACTTGTCCGAAAGTGATAGATCTTTAAATGATTCTCAAATTAATGCTGCGAATTGTGCTGCATCTCAGAATTATACCTCACTAAATACTGAGTCCACACACATTGACGGAATCCAAATCCAACAAAATTTAACATCGATACCTGTCAGTAATTCTGGCCCTAATAATAATCCTGAAACTTTGACCGAAAATAATGGATTAAATGATAACTCCGAGGATAACCCTGAGGTAAATGCTGAATCTGAATTTTGTCCTACACCTCAGAACTATACGCCATTAAATAATGAATCGAATGAATACATTTCATTATCAATCAAACATCAAAAATTTCATGAAGCTCCTGATACCTTAACTTCAAATTTACGCACTCCAAGAACGTCTGAGACTAACATCTTAAAAACTATGACTGCAAACCCAAATGAAAGTGAAACTGAAAGCGAAGATGATGACGATAGTGTTAAAGATCCCAACACTCGAAGGAAGACTGAGACTAGCACCTTAAAAAATAGGACTGCAAAACCAAATGAAAGTGGAACTGAAAGCGAAGATGATGACGATAGTATTAAAGATCCCAATTTTGAAAGTTCTTCAAGTTCGAGTAGCTCAAGTTCAGATTCTTCTTCTTCTTCTTCTTCTTCGTCATCTGATGAAGAAATTGGTCGAGAAGTCTTGAGGGAAATAGTTGCGACAAGAAACACTGAAGAAGTACATGAAGACTTGGAAAATAATGCTACAAATGGAAAGAAATGTAGGAAAAGATTGCGAAACGAAAATGAGTGGAACAAAAACAAGATAAAGAGATTAAGAAATTCCGGCAAGGAGTACATTTCACCAGAGCATTAAAATCAGGACCTATCTTTGTTCCTGATCAGTTTGTAATGTTGATAAGAGTAGCAAAGAAAAAAGGATCCCCATATTTTGTGAAAGAATTATCACACGATGATTTTGTCGATGTGAAGCAGCTTATGGCTGATACTGGGATAAATTTTAATGTGAATACCAAGGGAGAGCAAGTCTTTATTAGTAACCTTCGAATTGTGAGAGTTGAGAAAAACCAGCCATTTCTGTTTTTTTACAAAATGTCGTATACAGAATCGGAGGAATGGAAATCGGTGGATGTTCGTGGAAATGCAATGGTGAAAAAAACTACCAGACGATCAGAATCTGCAAGCACTCGGTTGAACACCTTGCCAACTCTGAATAAAGCTTACAAATCCAAGCTTACAATTAATGAAAATAAGAAAAAAGATTTGAAATTTCTATTGGAAAAAAATTTTATACCAAACTATTACAAAGGCTTTTATGAATCATTATTTTAGTTATGTTAGTTGACTGTTGGTTCAATTACTTATTCTTTGTTAATCAATAACTAATTGGTATTAAATTAGTAGTTAGAATTCAAGATTTTATTTTTTTACGTTTTTTTTAGAAATTTATTTGTTTTGTTTCAAGAAATTTATATTATTTCTCATATTATTTAAGAAAGTAGTAGCATTTTCTTCTCAGTCATCAATATTATGCATAAAAAATAAAGAAATTATAAAACTCAACACAAAAAGGGTTTAAATATTTTGTGAGAAAAGTGTATCATCTCAAATCAAAGTTCATTTTCGAGACTTCTAGGAAAAATAGAGGATTTTTTTTTAGAGTGTGGTTTTGTGAGCATATTCATTGAGATAAAACCAAAGCATGAAATATCTAAGCCTAATATTGAATGCAAAATGAAAAAAACAATGTTCCAAAATTTTATTTTGCTTATCCTGTAAAATTTCACATTTTTGACTTACTACGGCTTTGAATGGGGTGTGCGAAGTGTACATTTGTTAACTCAGAAGTTATTCTCGTTGGAATATGAAGGATGTGCAGCTGAGTTTGTGTCGAAATTAGAGGAAATTAAAGCAAATTTGAAGGGCATGGGCGAAGAAGTAAGTGACAAAATGTTAATTACGAAAGTATTAATGTCTCTTCCAGAAAATATGAAACATTTTGTTTCTGCATGGGAATCCACCCCTTCAGATAATCAAACATTGGCAGACTTAATGTCTAGGCTAATGATAGAAGAAGATAGGAATAAAGTTTCACAAGAAACAATGGCTTTTTCAGTTAAAAAGAGATTTCATTCGAAGAGTGATGTTAAATGTTACAGATGCAATAGAACAGGCCATATGATTAAAATTGTCCTCAATCAGTTAAAAAACATTGCAATTACTGTAAGAAAACTAGACATGTAATTCAAGATTGTTGGTTTAGGAAGAGAAAAGATTCTAATGAAAAGAAAAATGATAGAAGAGGTGATCAAGCATTAGTTGGTGAATCAAAATCAGGTGCAATCTTGAATGGTCATGATGTTATGGCAATGTTAGGCCAAATTCCAATTATTGGTGGTTGGACAGTGGTGCTACTGAGCATATGTGTTTTGACGAAAACCAGTTTCTAGAAATAAATAAAGAGCCTATAGAAAGACAAGTTCGAGTAGGAAATGGCACATTGGTTTCTGTAAAAGGAAAAGGTACAGTGCAAGTTGAAGCATGGAATGGAGATAAATGGGTAAGAACCGATTTGAATAATGTGCTTTATGTACCCGATTTAGCCATAAATTTATTTTCATTGAGTACTGCTTTAGATAAAAATTTGGAAATGCATTCTGATAAAGAGAAATGTGAATTATTGGACAAAAATGGCAAAGTGCGAGCAATAGCTGAAAGACAAGGAAAGTTATATAAAATGAAATTTTCAAGTATTAATAATCAGTCTATGCAATGCAATGTTGTGCTAAGTTTGGAAGATTGGCATCAAAAATTATGTCATATCAATTTTGATCAGATTGAAAAAGTCTTGAAAAGAAACAATATTTCATTCATCAAAAGAAACACATTTTGTGTCCAATGTCTAGCTGGGAAGCAGCATAGACTTTCATTTCCAATTAGCAAATCGAGCGCAGAAGGGACTTGTGATTTAATTCATGGTGATCTTTGCGCACCATTTGAAGTATCGTCTCTTGGCGGAGCAAAATATTTTTTATTATTAAAAGACGATCATTCAGGTTATAGGCATATTTATTTCCTAAAAAATAAATCAGAAGTAGAAAGTAAATTCAAAATTTTTATTAATAATACTGAAAAATATAACTGGAAATAAAATCAAGACGTTCAGGAGAGATAATGGATTGGAATTTATTAATAAAACAATAACAAAGATATGTGGAGAAAGAGAAATTTGTCATCAAAGAACATGTGCTTATACACCAGAGCAAAATGGGCGTATAGAAAGAGATAATAGAACAATAGTGGAATCTGTGAGAACTCTTTTGCATAGCTCTGGTTTAGGAAAACGTTTTTGGGCGGAAGCTGCAAATACTGTAGTATATACATTGAATAAAGCTGCAAAGAGTCCTCAAAATGACAAAACACCTTTTGAAGTGTGGCATGGAAAGAAATGCAATATGGATATTTTTCAAGAATTTGGCGTAAAAGTGAGTATACATGTTCCCAAAGCTAAACGTTTGAAATTGGATGCTAAAAATGAAATTGGTATTTTTGTGGGATACTCTGAAGAAGTAAAAGGCTTTAGGGTATTTTTGCCACTGAAAGAAAAAGTTGAAATTCACAGGGATGTAATTTTTATACCTAAAAATGATAATGCAGATGAGAATAGAACAAAATTGGAAAAAGACAGCAAAACCACTATTTCTCTAAATTTTGAAAATAACAGTGAAAATAAAGAAGGAATTCAAGACAATAAATCATGATGAAGAAGATAATATTTTCCTGGAAAATGATAATACAGAAACCGAAGAAAACTTAAACGAACCGGAATACGAGACTGAAACACCTGAAGTGATGCCAGAAGAGGAAAATGTAACTCGAAATATAACTAGAAGACATGGAAAAAGAAGTATCAAGAGACCAACATGGTTAAAAGACTTTGATGTGTTCGGAGATTCAGCAGATATGCATTTTTATTCAGAAAATGAAGAACCAGTTACTTTTGAGGAAGCTGTTTCAGGGAAAAATAGTGATAATTGGAAAGAAGCTATCAAAAAAGAACTTAATGTGCTAAAAAAAAATGAGACTTTGAGTGAAGTACCTTTGCCAGTGGACAAAAAGGTGATTGACACAGGACTGTGAAGATTTGTATGATATTTACGCTCCTGTTGCCAAACTTACAACTTTCAGAGTTTTTATTGTGATTGCATGCAAGTTGGGTAAGCCTATTTTTCAAATGGACGTCAAGAGTGCTTTCCTACATGGGGAAATAAATGAGGAAGTTTATATGAGTCTACCTGGCAATAATAGAAATAATAGCAGTACTGTTTGTAAGTTGAATAAATCTATTTACGGTCTTAAGAAAAGTCCTAAGTGTTGGAACACTAAATTTGATTCACTCATGAAAAACGAGGATTTTCTTAGGTCCGAAAATGATCACTGCTTATATTTGAAATGTTTTGAAAACAGTAAATTATATGTTTTAATTTATGTGGATGATTTACTAATTTTGGGGACTGATTTACCTGAAATAGAAAAATTGAAACATATATTTTGCAATAATTTTGATATGAAAGATCTTGAAATCATTTCTCAATATTTAGGAATTGATGTTAAACAAAATTTAAAAGAAGGTTGTGCTGAATTATGTCAGACAAATTATTTCAAAAAAAATTTACAAAGATTTGGAATGCAGGACTGTAACCCTATGCACACACACCATTAGATATAAATACTGTTTTTGATTTTAGAAATGAAAATAATGAGTTGCAGAAACTGTGCAGACATATTATTGGTAGTCTTATCTATGCAGTTCAAGGTTTCAGACCCGATCTTTGCGAAAGTGTCAATCTACTTAGTAGATATCAGGATAAGGCTAACAATAATTTGTTGAAGGCATTGAAAAGAGTCCTTTTTAGATATGTTAAGGGTTCTATTGATGTTAAATTATTGTTTAAACCAGATGTTGATGATAAAATTATAAGTGGTTATGTCGATTCCGATTGGGGAGGAGATGTTACCGATAGAAAATCAACAACTGGATATGTTTTTAAATTATTGAATTGCTGTATATCGTGGAACAGTAAAAAACAGCAATGTGTTTCAATTTCTTCCACTGAAGCCGAGTACACAGCTTTAACATTAGCAGTTAGCGAAGCTTGCTGGTTGAAAAAATTAATTAATGATTTTCAGTTATTTAGTCTGGAAATGCCAATTATCATTCATGAAGATAATCAATCTGCTATCAAGATTGCAAATATTACGGAAAATTATAAAAGATTGAAACATATTGACATAAAATTCCATTTTGTTAAAGAAAAGTTGGACACTGGCATAATAAACATTATTCACATTAAAAGTGAAGACCAATTGGCAGATATGTTTACTAAGCCATTGGCCAGAGTTAAATTTGAAAAATTTAGAAAAGATTTGGGTTTGTTTTGTTAAACCAGATTTTTTCTTAAATTTTAATCACTTTTTTAATATATACATAAGTGAAAAAATATTCTAGGTATTTTGTGTTTTTCATCCTTTATTTTTTCCAGTTGTTGTTATTTTAAATTTTATATTCAAACCCGACTAACCTGAACAATTGAATAATATGGGAGTGATTGTGTTTTCTTTGTTACATTTTTAAACTTTAACCACCGATCTCATTAACATACAACCCCTCTCAACAAAGTTATATTTCTAATTATTAATATTCTCAGAAATTAATTACCTACTTTTAACATCAAGCAATAGGGCCTAAGTTATTCAGGCCCCTTTCAACAATGACCCATATAACATAACTATAACATTGATATTCTCGGAAATTAAGTATAGATAAGGCCTGTTTGAGTTATTTAGCTATTATAATCTCACTTCTCTTAAGGGAAAATATATACATGAGTGAAAAAATATTCATTAAAGTTCAATAACTAGATACCTATTTTTTGTTTTTCATCCTTTATTTTTTCCAGTTGTTCTTATTTTTCAGAGTTCTGTTTTGTCAAGGTTCTCTTATTTCAGTGTTCTCTTTTTTCTCGGTTCTGTTATATCATAGTTCTGTTTTTTCCTTGTTCTGTTTTATCACTGTTCTGTTTTTTCAGTATTCTGTTTTTTCATGTTCTGCTTTTTCACGTTCTGTTCATTCATGTTCTGTTATTTCATGTTCTGTTATTTCATGGAACCGTAAAGTAGGTGTCTGTAGCATCGATGCAAAACCAGTAAATAGTGATTTTCCGATATGGTAGGTGGCGCTGGCTTGGCTCAATTTTGTTGACAACAAAATTTACACTGAGATTCCATTCTCGACAGTTTATATAGTATTTATCTCTGTTTTATATTTAAAAAACAGTCACGAAGTTAATACTCGCGCCGTTCTTCGTTTCATTTCAATAAAAAATGTCTTATGGCGTTTCCGATTGGTAGATTTAGTGCGGAACTAGTGCAGTTGTATCTATTTCTGTCTTTTTCTTTTACAGGTCGATTAAAAGGATGCAAATACACTCGGTGCGCACTGAATCTACCAATCGGAAACGCCATTAATATTAATGTATGGAAATATCATTCAACAAAGTTTTCGAAAAAAATACGCTTTTACTACAAAACCTGAAGTTTTTCGAAACATTTTTTCATAACCTTTTCTGCGATATTTTCTTAATATTTTTAAATAGTTTATGCAGTTTTAGACTAAAAAATTTAATTTTGCAACGGCTCCGAAGGCATTGATTAAAAATACTGCTTCTTACTTGGCTCCCCCTGTACATTTTGACTAGATATTTTTTCTACAAATGAGGAAAAGCCCCCCTAATATACACACAAAATTTCACAAAAATCCGCCGAATCAAAAAAAAAATATATTCGGAGCCAAATTGGGTTCCAAATAAATTTGGCCCACAGTGTATATACTCAGGATTATAGTGACATATTTCTGGATTGAAAATATAGGTACTCATTGGGAAAAAAAATAAATAATTATTGTACGTACTTACTTGATATAGGTATACAGGATACTAAGTATGGGCATCTTGGTAACCATAAGGAATACAGGGTTGGTTAAATTCCAATGCAGGTTTTTTTATAGCTTAATAGGACCTACATTTTTTTTTTGGATCATAACAAGGTTAAGAAAAATTGCGTATATTTTCATAAAAATTTGAACAAATCAGAATAAGCTATGCACTATCAGAAAGAGCATTAAATTTTCTATAAATCTCTGCTAAATTGAGTTTGATATCTCGAATACATTTCGAGCAATTGAGCCTCAAACTCAATTTTCTCACCTGAAAATATTTTCCAATACAGGTTTTTTAAAGCCTAATAGGACCTACAATTCCTGAAAATTTTAATTGAATATCTCTCATAAATTTCAATATATTGAAGCTTCAAAATAAAATTGTCATATGTATTCTCTTTTCAGCTCAATCATTTTTGAGAGACATGTCCCACTTGTCCTTACAAGGAGGTCCAAGTTCGTCTGCAGGTATGGGCAGAGGCTTTAGAAGAAGAGAAGAAGACTCTGATATGTCTTCGCTCATTTCAGGTAAGTCAAAAATTAAGGGCAGTTAGTTGAAGATATAATTATTAGGTTTGTTCGCACAGAAATCACAATCTAGTCAGATTGAATTTCATTGTTTTTAACCAATGAAATTCGCTGTGCGAACAGACCTATTATCAAGTCATGTTTTTTTTTTTCTAAAATAAAAGGTGGTTCGAGAAGTTTGGCCAGCGTTGGCTCTGATCACTTGGGGGCAGGAAAAGGCAGAGGTTTCAGACCAAAAAATATTCCCAGACCTGGACAATAATTTTTATTTATTTTTTGATGGGCCAATAATGTGCTTTATTTTTTTTAAAATTATTTTAGAACGCTTATGTATCTTGATTTTGCAAATATATTTAAGAAAAAAAAAACATCCACTGCTTTATTTACATTTCAAATTTGTACCACTGTCCTATAGCTGCAACCCTCAGGATAAATTTGCCTAATTAAACTACACACAGTGTCTCTGAAATTTAAGATGCTTGAGTCTTGAAGCTTTTGGTCAAACACCTACAAAAACAATTATTGCAAAATAAAAATAAATAATTTGGTAACTTACTCCATTATAAACAATTGTAGGTACAAATTGTGGTTGTATTGCGTTGGTTTCAATTTCGGCTTGTAATTGCAGGTTGGTACCTTCTTTGGTTTGATAGCAATTGTACATTAGTCGATTGTAATCGAGGCCTAACAGCTGTGCACACTAAAAAAGCAACTAATATACATGGGAATTTGAGTGTAAGTGGGTACCTTTTGGCCATTTTCACTATCGTTTATTTTAGCAAATTTATAAACGTCCATAAAACAACGTAAATATTCAACTTGCAAGTCTTGATTAGGAATTTCTCTTAAGGCACAAGACATAATTCGGTTTCCTTTGCATTCTTGAGAGCCATGCTGACAGGCGAATTTAGTTCCATTATCCAAACTCTTCAAGAATTTGATTATAAAACTTATTGCTAAAATTAATTAATAACTCTTACAATACTTTTCCCAAATGGTATAAATTTAATGTTAATATAGTCTCTTATATCATCCCAGTTTGGATACAATTGATCAATGATAAACTTTTGACTGTCAGGACATAAGGACTCGAAATATACCGCTACGTTAATCTGAAAAATAAATCATCGAGGACACACAAAACAATATTCATCCTACCTTTTGTTGTTCGCTATGGACAATTAACAGACACATGCAGCAGAAAATTACTTGTTTCTTGTTCAACATATTTGCTAAAACTGTGACATTTAAATTCTAGTCCGATAACTGCCCGCCTTGAAATGTTATTTTTTGAAAAATCGGCAACGAGTTTTGGTTTTTGGAACCACAAAATTGGCTTGTGCAACGTTTCGATAACAAATCAATAACTTCTATATATAAGGACTTGGTGTCAATTCTCACTTTCACTTAACATTAAGCTAAAATAATACGGGTTGTGTATGTATAATGACATCTCGATTTGTTGGCTTTTTTATTAATCATTATGAAACTTTCTTTTATTAACATTTAGCTGCTTGTTTACATTATTTGGTTTTTAAATGCAATTATTATTAAATAGTGACTTAATTTTTAATTAAAAGTTAATTGAAAATGCAATCGATTTACATAAATTTAATGTTGTTTCTCAAAATTTATTGGTGGCGAATGTCAAGGTGATTGAGAAACAGACAATAAAATTATGATTATTTCTTGAAATTTTAGGCCCGGTTTATTCATCTTTAGATAAACTTGCTGGTAACTATCTGCAAGATAAATTTACTGATCTATATTTCCTATTCGTCGGCGGATATCTGGCTAATCAAAATTGCGTTTTTATTCTTCAGATTGCATCTAGGCACTTGCGATTTTTCAGGACAGAAAATCTGTGAAGATCTTCTTGGAACTCCATATATTCCATCAATACCTTTGGATATACTGGAATCTCAAGGCATATCCTTGGATCTCCATAGAGATCATTTGGAGTTTCATGGATTTCTGTGTATCTCCGGACCTCTATATACATTAATAACCACAGTACCAGTTGAAATGAATACACGATTGGAGCCAGAGTTCTTGGATCTCCAAGTATTTCCAAGTGGATCTCTACGCATCTTTACTAGATCTTTACGTATCTTCACTAGATCCCCATGTATCTCTATGGATTTCCACAGATTTCCACGGACCATAGGCCAGTGGCTACCCCCTAAAAAGTAGTCACTTGCGATTTTTTAGGACAAATAGTCTCCATTTGTGCGAATCTTCTTGGAGCTCTATAGATCTCCATAGATATCCTTGGATTCCCAGGAATATCCTGGGATCTCAAGAGATATCCTTAAGAATCTCTATAGAAATCATTTGGATTTCCATTGATCTCCGTGTATCTCCTCCGAACCTCCATATACATCAATACCAGTTAAAATGATGTTGCGTACGCAATTACACTTTTCCGATTCTACACGTATCTCTCCAGATATTAATTTATTTAGACGAATACAATGACGTAGCTATAGCTTCCACATGAGGGGGGTTTAGAGCAGGAATGGCCGCTCATGGTCTATGCTGGAAAGGGTTTCAATTTTAGACCAGACGATGTATAGGCGACCGGGCGTGGTATAGTCAGAGCTGTTTCGAGTACAAGCAAAATGTACTCGGCTACCGGGTACAAGTACTTAACGTAGAATGTTCTTGAGTACAGAGTACAATTACAAGTATTCAATACCCAAGTATTCAAAGTACCGTGTACATTAATGAATACATTCTAATACCACCTTGTATTCCTACCCAATGATGTCATAGGTACAAGTTATTTCGCAAGGTCCTCTTTTAAACAGCCTTGATTTATCATGAAAATCTAATGAATCCTCATAGGGTCCAAGCGCTGAGGTAGCTGCGAACTTAGCATTGCACATGGGTTATGACGTCACCTTCCCTTTCACACTTCCGTCACATTTCTCGAAATTTACCATCAAACCGCCGGTATAGATCTTCACACATCAAAAATTGAAAAACACATTTTGGTTTACTAAATGAATTCAGCAATTTTGAAGTTTGATTTGGTTTTCCAGAGTCCAGAGTTTATAAGAACTCGGTTATAACTGCACAAATGATAATGTATAATTATATATTCTGGATCAGAATTAAATTATCTTTAAGATAGAATAAGATTCAATTCTCTATCTTAAATACTTCTGGAGATATTGAGGCTCAAAGTCAAAACTTTGTCTTAAATTTCACAAAAGATTCAAAACTGATTTTCTTGAAAACAAAGCCCTTGAGTTCGGAGTCTCAAATAATCTTTTTTATAGCTGTTCTCCAGAGCTACAATTGAGCAAAAGATTCATGCCGATAGCTTTACTGGATTCTAAAATATGGCCCTTTGAAATATTTGAAAATCAAATTTCCATGCATACCCCTTTGAAAAAATTTGAATTTTTAAATTTTCGAATTTTGCAATTTTTAACTTTACCAATCGAAAGAGGAGGTGAAAATTAGTGGAAAAGCATTTACGCAATTTTGTTTTTTGGGTTTTAGGGCTTGTAAAAAAATTAAAAACCGTTTTTTCACATTTTGGGCCCAGAAAATTTCAATAATCTGACATTGTCTCATAAAATCGCTCATTACTCGGTTATAACTGCACATATTATGATGTATAATTATATATTTTGAATCAGAATTAAATTATCTTTAAGATAAAATAAGATTCAATTCTCTATCTTAAATACTTCTGGAGATATTGAGGCTCAAAGTTAAAACTTTGTTTCAAAGTTCACAAAAGATTCAAAGCTGATTTTCTCGAAAACGAAGCCCTTGGTTTCGGAGTCTCAAATAACCTTTTTTATGGATCTTCTGAAGAGCTACAATTGAGCAAAAGATTTATGCCGATAGCGTCACTAGTTTCCAAAATATGGCTCTTTGAAATATTTGAAAATAAAATTCCCATGCATACCCCTCTGGAAAAATTTGAATTTTTAAATTTTTGGATTTTGCAATTTTTGACTTCACCAATCGAAAGAGGAGGTGAAACTTAGTGGAAAAGCATTAACGCAACTTTGTTTTTTGGGTTTTAGAGCTTGTAAAAAAATAAAAACGATTTTTGCAATTTTTGAGCTCAGAAAATTTCAATAATTTGACATTGTCTTACTAAACCACTCATTATTCGGTTATAACTGCACATTTTATGATGTATAATTATATATTTTGAATCAGAATTAAATTATCTTTAAGATAAAATAAAATTTAATTCCCTATCTCAAATACTTCCGGAGATATTGAGGCTCAAAGTCAAAACTATGTTTCAAATTTCACAAAAGATTCACAGCTGATTTTCTCGAAAACGAAGCCCTTGGTTTCGGAGTCTCAAATAACCTTTTTTATAGCCCTTCTGAAGAGCTACAATTGAGCAAAAGATTTATGCCGATAGCTTTACTAGTTTCCAAAATATGGCTCTTTGAAATATTTGAAAATCAAATTCCCATGCATACCCCTTTGAAAAAAATTGAATTTTTAAATTTTTGGATTTTGCAATTTTTGACTTTACCAATCGAAAGAGGAGGTGAAACTTAGTGGAAAAGCATTAACGCAACTTTGTTTTTTGGCTTTTAGAGCCTGTAAAAAATAAAAACGATTTTTGCAATTTTTGAGCTCAGAAAATTTCAATAATTTGACATTGTCTTACTAAACCACTCATTATTCGGTTATAACTGCACATTTTATGATGTATAATTATATATTTTGAATCAGAATTAAATTATCTTTAAGATAAAATAAAATTCAATTCTCTATCTTAAATACTTCCGGATATATTGAGGCTCAAAGTCAAAACTATGTTTCAAATTTCACAAAAGATTCAAAGCTGATTTTCTCGAAAACGAAGCCCTTGGTTTCGGAGTCTCAAATAACCTTTTTTATGGCTCTTCTGAAGAGCTACAATTGAGCAAAAGATTTATGCCGATAGCTTCACTAGTTTCCAAAATATGGCTCTTTGAAATATTTGAAAATAAAATTCCCATGCATACATACCCCTTTGGAAAAATTTGAATTTTTAAATTTTTGGATTTTGCAATTTCTGACTTTACCAATCGAAAGAGGAGGTGAAACTTAGTGGAAAAGCATTAACGCAACTTTGTTTTTTGGGTGTTAGAGCTTGTAAAAAAATAAAAAGGATTTTTGCAATTTTTGAGCTCAGAAAATTTCAATAATTTGACATTGTCTTACTAAACCACTCAATATTCGGTTATAACTGCATATATTATGATGTATAATTATACATTTTGAATCAGAATTAAATTATCTTTAAGATAAAATAAAATTCAATTCTCTATCTCAAATACTTCCGGATATATTGAGGCTCAAAGTCAAAACTATGTTTCAAATTTCACAAAAGATTCAAAGCTGATTTTCTCGAAAACGAAGCCCTTGAGTTCGGAGTCTCAAATAACCTTTTTTATGGCTCTTCTGAAGAGCTACAATTGAGCAAAAGATTTATGCCGATAGCTTCACTAGTTTCCAAAATATGGCTCTTTGAAATATTTGAAAATAAAATTCCCATGCATATACCCCTTTGAAAAAATTTGAATTTTTAAATTTTTGGATCTTGCAATTTTTGACTTCACCAATCGAAAGAGGAGGTGAAACTTAGTGGAAAAGCATTAACGCAACTTTGTTTTTTGGGTTTTAGAGCTTGTAAAAAAATAAAAACGATTTTTGCAATTTTTGAGCTCAGAAATTTTTTTTCGGGCGCCTCGCCCAAAAACGTTAAAAATAATTTATTTAGTTTAATGGAGGGGGTTCGAACCCCCAAAACCCCCCACTTATATACGTCCTTGGACGGATATCCATTGATTTCAACGAAGATTTCCGCAGTTACTGCCCCCTTGGATTTCATTACCTGACAGTTTATCAGAAGGTAATTAAATCGGCCCTTAGTGCACTAACATGAAAATGCTGTTAACCAGCGACTATTTAAAAATCTTGTATATAGTTTGGTTGGTTAGCTAAAATTATTTAACACTGACACAATTCAAGTAGATTTTCAAGTTTAATTTTTATAAGTAATAGTCAAGGTCTGATTAGGATAACTGTAATACTTTACATCAGAGAAGAATTTTTTAAAAAATAAATCTTGAATTCATTATTGTAACGACAAGGACATTATCAACACAAACCTCCAAAATTACTATCAAATAGAATTTTATTGTAAACCACATTTATTTCTCTATTATTATACAATAATTATCTGGAAAAAGAAAATTAGTACATACATTAAATTTTTTTGATTGACATTATTAAAACTAATCCTAAATAAATAATTATTCTAAAAATGTCCATTCACCTAGTAATACATATTAAATTTTTTAAAAATAACGTTGATGCAATATAATTTTTTAGAAACGACTATAGAAAAGTGCTGATAACTATCCGATATGATCACAATGATATTATTTTGTTCTAATTAATTTGAATTATTTGGCTAATATTAATCACTAATAAAATATACAAAAAAAAAAATAATTGATAAAAATTTATATAATTAAATAATTATCACACTATTACTTATTTCGAGTACACTTTGGTTTAGGGTTTCCATGAAGGTTTTACGGAAATCAGGACAAAGAAGTCAAGAAGAAATCCAGACAAAATCCGAAAAATAACTTAAAATTTTCATGAAGAATGAATTTTGTGTTCATTGATAATAGTACAGATGAAGTACCGTAACGATTAAAATATTTAACAAAGTTAGGTTGTTTCCACGATCTCCAAGTTTTCCGGACATTGTTCCGAATTCCGATCCAAATGGCCCGTATGGAAACCCTACTTTGGTCAAAACAATCCCCTACTAAATAATAATACAAGGGTTATGTTGCAACTTTTGCCTATTCGAACTGCTAAACCCCGAACAGCACTGTTGATGTTTGCTATTTTTACCAAAATTCGGTTGACTTTTGCTGTTCGAAAGGCCACTCTTAGCCAAACTATCCCCCCTTTTAATATCGCCCTCGCTTTTCGATTCCGGAATATCTTTGTGACTATGATTATTCTGTTTCCCTAATTTCTTCGCATATTTGTACATGGCCCTGCCAAATTCGGGCGTCTTAGACGGGCTACTGCTCTGAGGCTCGATCTGAATAGGCACGTCGTCGATTTCAACTTTTTTCACCGGCGTATCAGGGTTACACGAATCTCGTCTTTTTACGAGAATTCCGGGCGTCAACGGCGAACTTATCGAACTATTACTACTGCTAGGTACACTGAATTCGATGGATTTTCGTTTTCTATCGTCGAAACCGCTCAAATTGAACGTCGATGCTGTTTTACATGGAGTTTGGACTGGCGAATTGTTCGCCGAACTTGCCAGGCTAATACTGTTGCTGTTGTTGTCGTCGGAATCTTCTTTGGTTATTGGCGTGCCGAAATAATTTGCCGGATCCCACAGGCAGTTTGTTGCGCCTTCAGAATTTGATCTTCCACCTAAAATGAACAAAACGTGTATGCAACTAGAACAAAATGAAAATACCTTCACAAACTATTACGATGTCGGGGATTGGGAATAATCATTCAAGGACTAAAAAGGGAGAAGATTCGCCCATACCTATCTAGATTTCTAGAAGTTGGTTTTCTTGACTTATTTTATAAGAATGATTAAAGACAGAATGGTACTAGCAGGTGTTTTTGACGAACAGGTTGTTGAGGAAACCAACAATGTCTTTAGACATAATGCTAAAATATTGTAGGAGTATTGAGGTTACAATGAAGCATGTTCAACTATTAGATAATGGAACAGAAGAAACACAAGAAGTCAATGCTCGTGAGTTTTCTCGCAGATGTGGAAGATGTGATTTTAATAATCTACCTAGGCGTGAATATTCAAAATTCTAATACAATAGTAAGCAATGAAATTATAGATGCTGAAAGTTCTATTTTCATTTATGAACAGAAACAAAATATTCAAAATAGTAGTTGGTATGAACCTATTACAATTGATAATATTGACATTCAGTTCCAGCTTGATACAGGAGCTGAATCTAGCGTTTTACCTTTAAAATATTTCAGTGATTTGAATATTGATAAATCAGTAATTATTCCAACAACCATGACAATTTCAAATCTAAACCGTTAGGTTACATTACACTTGAATGCATGTATAAAAATTAGTTTGGAAATGTAAAATTTTTGATTATTGATTTAGATTCAGAGCCTTTACTTGGGCTAGGTCATTGTTTACATTTTAATATGTTCTGAAATCTGGAGGAGGAATATATAAAAATTCCAAAGATATTTTTGAAGGTCTTGGATGTATGCCTCGGGTGGTAGAAATTAAGTTAAAAGATGTTGCAATACCAGTGATCCAAGCATAGAGGAAAGTCCAATTGGCTTTACATGACAGATTAAATACATGACAAAAAAAAAGAATAATTTCTAAAGTTGACTATCCAACTGATGATGATTAGATTTTGGAAAACTTTGAAAGGTCATAACTTTTTTTTTCTAGTGTAGATAGAAAGCTGAAATTTTCAGCGATTCTTATCCCAGTAGAGGACTACAGTCTCTGAAAATTTCAGTTCATTTGGACTTATAGTTCCTGAGATAAAATCAAAGTTTTCCAAAAAAATCATAAGGGGACCTTCTTACTAAAACGATGAAATTTCAAATTTTTTTTTGTTGAGATTTTGTGTCCTAATGGACAATCAACATACCCCAAACTCCATACACAAAATTATTCTCAGATTTGAAGCCGAAATCTATGAAAAAAGGCACTCAGAAAAATTGAAAAATTGATAAATCACCCCAATTGCTTAACACGATTTTATCTCAGGAACTATAAGTGCAAATGAGCTGAAATTTTCAGGGATCGTAGTATTTTGTATCATAGTAGTTATGACCTTTCAAAGTTTTCCAAAAAAATCATAAGGTACCTTCTTACTAAAACGATGAAATTTCAAATTTTTTTTTTGTCGAGATTTTGTGTCCTAATGGTCCCTCGTAGGGATGGCAAAATAAAAAAATACATCGATATATCGAATCATATGATATATCGAAATAACATATCGATACATTCGATATAGCGAACGAAAAACATCGATATTTTGAATATATGGATATATATTTTATTTTTTTATTTTTTTTTCTACGAGCATGCGAAAAGTGTTTTTTTTCTGCACGCATTTTAGGTCATGAAAATATCACTTTTCCGCACTCAAATGGAAAAGAAAAATAATTATGCAATGTTAGGCAGGGTTAACAGGATATCAGCGATAAAATATCCTGATATATATCTTGATAAATATCATGATATTTATGCTATAAATATCCTGATATACAGTGTGTCCACTTAAGTTCGCAGCATATGGGAAACTTTTTTATTATCAATTTTACGAAAAAAAGTTATTCTTTATAAAAGTTTCTGCTTCTCGAAAAAATAATATTAAACTACTAAAACATGAAATAGCATGTACAGGGTGTCCCATTAAAGATGGGAATTGGGGTTATCTGCTAAACTCGTAGAGGTAGATTTTTTTTGTTTCCACATTTCCGGGCCAATTTTTCATAACGAATCGAATGCCGCAAACCGCAGGTCTCTATCTTGTTTCGTTTTGGAGATACAGGGTGAAACTTGAAATGTTCACTTTTCGAGGGTAGTCATTCAGGTCTATGATGTATCCGGTCCTGTTATTTTAACGGCTGTGTTATGGCTCAATATCTGTTGCTGTCTTTATTTTGACGTATAGAATAAACAGTGACAGATAACTTAACGTCGCTGTTAAAATAACAGAGAATGATACATCATAGGCCTGATTATCTAGCGTATAAAAAAAGATATCAAAAAAGTGAAAATTGTATCTGACGCAGTTTTTTACGTAGATTTCATTGGCGTACTGGAATTTTTTTTCCGAAGTACCGCTTGAGAGATATGAGACAAACTTCATCTTTTTTAAATGGGACACCCTGTAAATTTTTACATTTTTGGAATACACATAAAATTACCTTTCCGATGATATATAATTTGTCTATATTATGTTGTAACTTGCCAATATTATCATGGTATTTGAAACTTTCCATAAGAACCTTTGGAAATCGCATTGAATATGGTTTTATTTTCTGGTTCAATGTGTGAGAAACTTTTGATATGGGACTCCCTGTGAAATAATAGTTTATCGAGGACCGGTTTATTCATCTTCTGATGAACTCTCAGATATGCAATATGACGGATAAAAATTCAATCTGCAATCCCATTGAAATGAATAAACCGGGCCTAAGGTCATCATCATACAATAGGCGATGATTCGATACCGAGTATGATATTCTCCTATTGTTTTTAATGTCGTCAATTGTGCATTTTCTAATGGCTATATATACCAATTTTGGAACCCCACACTCTTCCACAATCTTGGCAAACCCAGCCTCTGGCAACATTGGTCTCTTCCTCTGCTCTCTCGCTCCTTCCTGCGGGCCCTCTTTTTGGTCTCGTGTCTGCGTCGCTGTTTTTCAAAAGTTTGTGGTCCGTCGTGGACTACTCGACGCCATTATGGCCTATCATTTGCCGTCGTCTCTCAGATGCAATGACGGATAAAAACGCAATACCTATGTATTCCCATTGGTCCACCAGTTATCTGCCGACCACTAGAATTATGGAATGGTAAATTTTCCTTGCAATTAGTTTCCAGCAAAGTTTATCTGAATAAGGCCCGGTTTATTCATCTTCAGATAAACTTACTAGTAACTATCTGCAAGATAAATTCACTGATCTATAATCCTATCGGTTGGCGGATAACTGACCGACCAATGGGATTACAGATTGCGTTTTTATCCGTTAGAGTGCATACCATACCTAATAGTCTATCAGAAAATAGATAAATTGGCCTTTAATCATATTTTTTTCCCATTTCAACGATATAGGTATTACACTTCGTTGGACACATAGCGATTTGTGGCATCGTGTAACGTGGGCTCGTGACAAACATGTGTCCAACGTTGGCCACACTCAACGTTCGAGCCAAAGTCGGTAAATTTGACCCGCTTCAAAAAAGGCTTCCAATGTTGGACAGAGGTTGGAGACACTGCCACACAAGGATTGACAGTCGTCCATTTTTTAGGTTAGATTCAGTGGCGCTATAAAAAAGTTTATTTTCCGATGCTTGTCCTGACTCGTGCTACTTTGAAACGAAACGGCACTGACAACGATACTCCAACCTTTGTTCCAAGGTTTGTTCCAATGTGGGAAGGAATGTTTGCCTCGTCGTGTAGCGGCACATTTGCCAAATGCTAGAGTGCCAAACATTGTACCCAACGTTGGATCTAACGTTGGGACCAATGGCTGGACACATCGTGTGGTGTCGGCTTAAGGCCAGTTCATTTATCGTTAGATAAACTCACTGGCAAGGTCCTTCCTCCGTAGATTTTAAGCAACTAGAGAGAAACCAAACCAATTGGCAACTTAAATCACCAACTATGGAATATGGATCACACACGATGCTACTGAAAAATCAAGTCAATTCTTGATTATAGTAGCTTTGTTGTGTTTAAATTATTATTTTATTATTATGATTAGGATATTGTTATTATCCTAGCAAAAATGTTTAATAATCCAAGATATTATCACTTATCATAAAAAAGAATTCGGCACAAGAAAATGGGTATTGGGTTTATCACTACATTCAAAAAATAATAAAATGCATATAGGATTTGAAGTAGCCTAAAATTGAAGGATTATTCTCCAATTTTCGCCGTTTTGCGTGCTTGTTCACAGGATAAAATAGAAACTAATCGACAAGCGACGCTGCATGTCGGATTGCGGCTAACAGATCACCGACGAGTTTCCTTACCAGCGAGTTGTGTTGCGTGCGGATGCTCATTGAAATACACAAGCGGCAACTAATAAGCAACTGATTGACGATTCAAGTTTCTAGTAAGTTTGTTTCCAGTTGCCCAATGTGCGGAAGATTTAAAGCCTAACTGTCTACAAGATAAACTGGCCAATCTCTAATCTCATTGGTTTTCGGATAACTGGCCAACCAATCGGATTATTCATAGATTACCAGTTTATCCGTCATATTACATTGCCTGACAGTTTATCAGAAGGTGAATAAACCGGGCATTAGACTATTAAATGCAGTTACTGAGCATTAGTGAGATATTTGATTATTTTTTATAGGATATATGCTGTAGGTAGGAACCGGTTAATCCGAAATGACATCAATTTTCTTTGCAATCAGAACCTATTTCTTCTTAACGTTAATGGAGAGGTATAACTACAAAATGTAATATCTATATTGTTGAAATAGAGAAAAATACAGGATTTAAAAAACTATTATTTTACAGGGTGTCCCACATTTAAAAATTACACCAGAAAATAAAACCAAATATTCAATGTGATTTGCAAGGGTTATTTCTTATGGAAAGTTTCAAATGCCATGATAATATTGGCCAAGTTACAACATAATATAGACAAATTATATATCATCGGAAAGGTA